TTCTAACGCCTTCAATTCCCTGTCCATGGCTTCGCGCCATTTTTCCCTGTGCTCCCCCCCCAGAGCCTGTTGAACCGTCGCAGGCTCCTTAGGAATGTCGGCGCCGTGGACTGCGGTGACGAGGCCAAGGATTTGGAGTCCACTCTGTGTGTAGCGGGGGAGTGTGGTGTCCTCGGGATAGACTGCTTCGTCTCCAGCTTCTGGATCAGGTGCGAAGTTGGGTCCTACGCGTTCTGCTTCGTTGGTGTTGACTTCAGCAGGTGTAACGTAACCGTTGTCGGCGAAGTGGTAGTAAACTTCGGCGTTGATGCTTTCGCGTGGGTCTTCGTCGTCCATTGGTACGTCCACTGGGCAGTAGGGAAGAGGTCCGGCTTCTTCCGAGGCTCGGTCCACGTTCTGCTCGTCCCAGTCTGCTTCGTCTTCTGCCAAGGCGAAGGCTCGCGTGCCAGTGAATCCGCCCGTGAGGTCAGGTCTGTTGGCTCTGACGTACGCGAGATGAACGTCGAGGGTGAGGTGTTCGTAGAAGATTACATCACGTGCTGCGACTGTTTCCTTGCTGTTGATGTCGAAGATTTTCCATGCGTTGTGGTGTTTTTCGATGCCCAGGTGTACTCCCCACTGTGCTCGTTGGGAGAATCGACCGGCGCGTGCAGATGGTGGTCGGTACTGTACCATGCACCCGAAAACTCGTAACATTTTTGTGCTGCCCAATTTTCCTGTCCACAGCAGGTGCGGTGATGCGTTGTTCGGGAGCGATGATGACGAGAGCAAGTTGTGCAGCATGACGGCGTGGTCCATTGCTTCGGGCCACTGGTGGTTGGGCAGATGCATGCCACGTAGCAGCTTGCGCATGGTGGCTTGAAGTGTCCTGTTCATCCTTTCTGCTACACCTTGCTGTTGATGGGCGTAGGGAAGGGAGATGAGTCGCTTGATTCTCCTTTCTGCCAAGTAGTCCTTGAACCTCTGTGAGGTGTATTCTCCTCCCCCGTCTGACTGAAAGCTTTTTAGTTTTACGCCCGATTCTCTTTCTGCTGCAGGAAGCCACGCGACGAACGCTTCGAAGGCCATGTCGCGGCTGGGTAGGTTGAGGTGCCAGACGTATCTGGTCGCGGCGTCGATGAAGGTAATCGTGTAGTTGTAGGTGTTTTGTCCAGGTTCGCGGTTGTACAGGATGTCGCTGTACACCTTCTCGAGCGGAGCGTAAGCTGGGGCGCTTGGATTGTGGTGAGATGGAAACGGCTGTCGCGTTAAGTCTGCTTCAGGGCAGGTGAAGCATGTTCCTCGAGCTCGCTGAAGTTCTCTGCCGTCGGTCAGTAGGAGTGAGTCCTTGTCAAGAACTCCTGCTCTTATTGTGTTGTTTAACACCGTGTGACTCGGATGTCCCATCCTTGCGTGCCAGGTTCCTTCAGTGGCGCGGTGTCCTTGGGAGCGTCGGTACATGTCGGAGTTGGAGTAGAAGCCGGCGGTGAAGTTGGCGCTACGGTGAACTTCTCGCGGTGCTGGTTGAAGCTGCTGTGCGGGTGTTGGTGGCGTGTCGTCGATGAAGGGTGGTGCCGTCGAAGGACCGGCGACTGGTGTTGATGTTCCTGCTGCTGCTGTCGTTGTCTCTGCTGCTGCCAATGTTGTCTCTGCTGCTGCCGATGTTGTCTCTGCTGTCGACTGTTGAATCGTTGCTAACGCTCTTGTTCTTTCTGTTTCAGGAATGGTGTGTGAGTACCAGAAGCCGCCCGGACTGAAGTCTGGATCAAGATCTGGAGGATGTGTCGAATTGGTGAAGTTCACGATGGCGTCACTGTCGGCGGTGCCAAGATCGGGAACGAAGTCAAGAACGAAGACGTTGTTCTTGAGCCTTTCCGATGTAGAGACCGCCTCTCCCGTGGTACAGCTTGAACTCCTGGGTGGTGCTGTCTGCTTCAAGATGGATGCCTTTCGCCATCAGCTGACTGACGCTCAGTAAGTTGTATCCGAGACCTTCTGCAATTAAAACCTTGGACATTTGTAGGATGACGTTTGTCTCCCGTGACTGAAGTTGTACTACGCCTTGTCGTCGTGTGCGCAGGTTCTGGTTGTTGGCGACGGTGATGACGACTTCTCGTTGAAGCTGATACTCTCGTTGTACGAAGCGTCCCGAAGAACACATGTGCTGCCCGCAGCAGCTATCCAGGAACCATGTGTCCTTCCCGGATGGCTCGCTTTGGGCGATGGCGGCGTACGTCGGGTTCGGGTGAAGTAACTCGCGTCGAGGAGTGGTTTCATCGAGTTGTTCTTCCGGTGAGTAGTACGGTGGTGATTCCGTGACGCAAGAGTCACTCAGTCTTGCCATACAGCTAACGATGTTTCTTGCTCCTTGTGCAGGTTGTCCCGTTGAGGTCGTTGAAGCTTCAATTTGGGTCGTTGGGTTCGCCTGTGTTGACGTGACTTGGTTGCTTGAAGGCCGTAGGTGCCGCTGCGGAGTCGTTGACTGTTGACGATTTGGGCAGTGCGTGCGCGGGTGTCCTGAAGTTTTGCAGATGTGGCAGAAGGGAGGTACTGGCTTCGGTTGTTGCTGTCGATTGTTGTAGTTGTTGTAGCGTCGCTGAGTGTGGAAGGCAAATTCTGATGCTGTTGTCTTCTTCCTGTGTCGTTCTTCTTGCAGGTCCATGTCCTGCTGCTCGGCGTGGATTTCGGCGCAGAGTGCTGCTTCAGAGATTCTGCCGTGGGCTCGGAGGATAGCTTTGGTGGCGCGCCATTGAGGACCGAGACCACCAATGATGACCGTCACGAAGGCGTCTTCAGAGATGGACCCTCCACATCGAAGAAGCTTGTCGCGCAGTTCGCGACATCGGCTGATATATGCCATTCCTTTCTCTCCTGGTTTCATCTCAACTGTTGTCAATTGCGCCATTAACCTGCTCTGGTTTACACTGTCTGTTGCTTGATACAGGTTCTTCAGGTGGCTGTACGCGAGTTCCGCCGAGTTGCCGAAGGCCCGGTAAGACCGAATGTTCTGCTGCTGAGTTGGTGTGACGTTCCTCAGTAGAATCGTGTATGCCATCATGGACTGATATGTGTACTGCTGTTTCTCGTACTGCGTCCCGTTTGCTGGATATTGCAGGGACCCGTCGAAGAAGCCGAGTATCTGCGCGCCTTCCATCATCAACTCAAACTCGAATGACCAGGTGAAGAAGTCCTTTCCGTCGAAAGGTCTTGATGTCTGCAGTTTTAGAACGTGCGCGAACTGTGATTGCACTTGTAACGCGTCCAGTGGTTTGTCTTGACCAGGTGGAGGCTGCGGCATGAAGCTGATCGACCCGCGCTCGTACGGGGCGAAGGTGGGTTGCTGCTGTTGATTTCCGCGCGCATATGACGACCCGTCGAGGCTCATGGGCGTTGCTCTATTGTTGTTGCTGTTGTGTGATTGTGCAGGTCCCGACTGCTGGTGCTGCTCGTAGAAGGACATGAAGGAGAAGAACTTCTCCATCATGCTTGGGTCGAAGTTCACGGGGTGATTTGCGGGAGTCTCAGTAGATGTCACCCTTGGTCTTGTTGTCGTGCCTTCCTCTGTCTGCAGGCCAGAGGCAGGAGGTGGAGTAGGGGTAGTGCCCGGGGAGCCGTTAGAGGAGCTCCTTTCCTTGCTTGTTGCCATGTCTTGTAATGACTTGAAGATAGTGGAGTTTCCCCTGTTTGCTCTCATACCATGTTGGGCTGAGATAGCCCCTTAGGATCTTTTCAAGGGAGAACTCTGGGTAGGATAGTGTTGTAATAGCGGAAGCGTTTAATGAAGAATTATGAACCACCTTGCGCTGGTATGTGAGGGCAAAGTAGATTGATTATAGCAAGGAAGTACAAGATTATATAATAATACAAGGAATATGAAAGGATGCAGTTTGTAACTACTTTACTGTTGCTGTTGCGGTTCGATACAGTACGACTCGGGCAACTGCTCTGTAACGAGTCAGTTGTGTGTCCTTAACTGTCGCGCTGTATTTGTCAGGTCAAAGGTCGCTTGACCTTTGACTTTCGCGTAACCTCCAGCAACCTCTCAACCTCCGAGGGTTGACTCGCGTTTGTTTCGGTACTGCTTGCTTCGCTTCTGGTGCGATGTTTCGACACGACTGAAGCGCTTAAGATTCACTGTTTCCAACATAACCTAGTCACAAGAGAGATGTCCAAGCAAGAAGGGGTTTGAACTATAGAATGACAAGTACAAATAGAGGAGAAGCATGCAAGGAGTGGTGCACCACCACAAATAACACCTATGTGGCTACACTAAAGCTAGAACTACATGCACTTATACAAAATATTTATACTAAATATTCTGACAGATTAGCCTTAAGGGGAATGTACCCCCTCATAGTACATCGCTAGCTAGAACCTTTCGTATTTTATTGTATTCCTATATAAATCATTGTACCGCATTGTGTTTGTCACTTCTGTCGAGATTCAAATCTCCTTCTACTGACAGAGTCCGTACCCGACATTGCTCAAACCTTCCACTGCTACACTCCGTGCGATCAACCTGAAACGAACCTATAAGACGGTTCAGATTGCATCACAGCCTCCCCCAAGAAACAAGACAGGAAGGACTCATGGGATGGAAGCAGCAAGCAGCAGCAGCAGCACCCCTGATCGGATCGTATACTATTCCAGAACCTTTTTCCCTACCTCCTTGCTTGACCTCGTCCACCTCTCCATTCTTCTCCTTCCTTGCCCATTCCTCCACCCTTCACCCCTTCACACCTTCTCCACCTCCTTGACCCCATCCACCCCTACCCTACCCTCTCTCCCCGCAACCCTCCCGCCTCCTCCTCCGCCCTTCCCCCTCCTATCCCCCTCCCCCGCTACAGCCACCTTGCTTTTGAGAACCCTCAAAAGCCTTCCCCCTGCTATCCTCCTCCGGCGCTATAGCCCACTTGGATTGGAACAGCTGGTCGGTGCAGCAGAGCATGGAGGCGAGAGAAGGAGGAGGGGAGACGCCTAGAGCCTTCAGAGACGAGGTGATTTTTAAGCCAACTCAAAAGTCACCTCGCTACAGCCCACTTGGATTGAAACGCGTGGTCGGTACAGCAGAGCATGGAGGCGAGGGAGGGGGGCGGGGAGACGCCTAGAGCCTGCAGGTGGCTGTAGCGGGGCTGGATGCGGCGGTGCAGGCTGTAGCCAAAGAAGTGAGGGAAGGTTGCGGCGTGGGAGAGGGGGCGGTTCATGGGGCCAGTGAGGAAGGCGCACTTGGCTTGGATGTTGTCGGGACTGGTGGAAGTGCAGGGGAAAGGGAGGGAGCAAGGGCGGAGATTATAAACATGTGTTGGCCTCTAGAGCCTGAAAAATAGTGTAGCCGAAAGGGCACGAGCTGAGCCGAAAGGGCACGAGCTGAGCCGAAAGGACGAGAGCTGAGCGGTAATTGATCAGAATCTGGCTTCCCCCCAACGCTTCTCTCCATGGCCCTCTACCCCACCTTCCCGTGGGCGCACAACCTTCACACAACCAACCGACCACCCTGAACCAGCCACAAACCACCATATTTAGAACAAATTCCACCAGACCTACACATACCCCTCACTTCAGAGACCTGAGCAGCAGCAGCAGCGTGGGGAGGAGTGGTTGCGGTGCAGCAGGGGCAGCGACAGTCACAGCACGTTGGACTGCCGCGGGAGCATGGCCGCCTGCTGCTGCGCGGTCAGCCCCACACGTCCAGGGAAACACAAACCCCACAAACACCCAGAGAAAACCCCACCCATCCCCCCTCCCCCCCCCCTCCATCCCCCCCTCCATCCCCCCCTCCTCCCTCCTCCCCCGACCTGAGCAACAGCAGCGTGGGGAAGAGCACGAGCATGCGGCAAATATCTTCAGGTGAGAACCCGAGTGCACGCAGGGAGGAGTGGTTGCGGTGCAGCAGAGGCAGCGACAGGCACAGCACGTTGGGCTGCCGCGGCAGCATGGCCGCCTGCTGCTGTGCAGTCAGCCCCACGGTTTGCGAGAGGAAGAGGAGTTTTGGTTGAAGCGTGTGCGGCACTGACTGGGTTAGCACCTGGGGAGAGGGGAGGGTGGAGGACAAGGGTTGGGGAGAGTTTTGATTTATGAGGCGTGGAGTGAGTACTTGGTGATGGCTGCCTGCTGCTGTGCTGTCAGCCCCACGGTTTGCGAGAGGAAGAGGAGTTTTGGTTGCAGCGTGTGCGGCACTGACTGGGTTAGCACCTGGGGAGAGGGGGTTGGTGGGGAAGTGTTGGTTTCGAGTTGATTTCTAAGGCGTGAGGGGGAAACATATACAAAGGTATAAATATAAATATAAACGTATATGTACATGTATGTTTCATATATGTAATCGTGAAATACATGTTTGTATGTATGTATGTATGTATGTATGTATGTATGTATGTATGTATGTATGTATGTATGTATGTATGTATGTATGTATGTATGTATGTATGTATGTATGTATGTATGTATGTATGTATGTATGTATGTATGTATGTAGGCATGCATGCATGCATGCATGTATGTATGTATGTATGTATGTATGTATGTATGTATGTATGTATGTATGTATGTATGTATGTATGTATGTATGTATGTATGTATGTATGTATGTATGTATGTATGTATGTATGTATGTATGTATGTAGGCATGCATGCATGCATGGATGCATGCATGCATGCATGTATGTATGTATGTATGTATGTATGTATGCATGTATGTATGTATGTATGTATGTATGTATGTATGTATGTATGTATGTATGTATGTATGTATGTATGTATGTATGTATGTATGTATGTATGTATGTATGTATGTATGTATGTATGTATGTATGTATGTATGTATGTATGTATGTATGTATGTATGTATGTATGTGTGTGTGTGTGTGTGTGTATGTGTATATATATAAAAATATATTTAACACTTTGAGGTGCTGCGGAGACCAATTTCTTGGGTCCATTTCTTGCAGGTTCTACTACCTGTGGTGCTGCAGAGACCAATTTAAGCAGCTGTGGTGGCGAGAGCGGCAGATTCGTGGACAGGAATTCGATGGCAGGCAACAACCTGTCCTCTAGGCTGCAAGGAGAGAGTGGAGGGAGAGAGAGATGGGAGACAAATGAGACAGGCAAAGGAAAAAGAGAACAAAAAAAAGAGTGGGAAGCTGAAGAAAAAGGAAAGAAAACGGGGAAAATGAAAGAGAACGAGTTTGGAAACAGACATGCAAGTGACAACCACCCCTCCATCCCCCCACTCACCCCCTCCCTTCCCTATCCCCTCCACCCAATCGTTGCAGTCGGTAAAGCAAAACAGCAGCAAGCAGGCAGCAGCACGACACAGGCAGCAAGAACTCGGGCAGTAGAGCGCAGGCAAGCAGCCGGGAATGACGGAGCAGTGGCAGCAGCACCTACCTGCAGGCGAGCAGCACCTACCTGCAGGCGAGCAGCACCTACCTGCAGGGTGGAGCAGAGCACTAGCATTCAGTGCCTACCTGCAGGCGAGCAGCGAGGGGCAGCGGCGCAGCATGGTGCCGAGCAGGGGCGGTGAGAGGCCGGGGAGGGCAGAGCAGAGCGCAAGCACCTTGGGACGCAGGTTGGCACGCAGGGAACAGCCCAGCAGCTTGGGGTAGCCGCGAATGATGCGAGGGATGACGGTGGAGGGGATGGTGAGGTGGTGGCGGAGGAAGGATGTGAGCGGGATGACGTTGGCCTAGGGAGGCGTGGTGGGGGAATGTGAGGAAGTGGGGCGATGGGAGGAACGGGACCGGGTGGTGATGTGGAAAGATACGAGATGAGATGACATGAGATGAGATGGGACGAGACGAGAGGAGATCATGAGGGGACATTTATTGCGAATGAAGCGATAGGAGTGCACGTAAGGAATGTGGCCAGCAGACGCGCGGAGGACGAGAGGCGGAGGTGGTGCATGGTGCGAAAGATGAAGGAGTAAAAAATTATGATGATGTGAGGGATCAGGGATCAGGGACACTGATGTGGTGGCAAGGTGACTTTTGAGTCGACTCAAAAGTCACCTCGAAAATCACCTCGAAATTCATGTGGGGACAATGATGTGGTGGCGGAGGAAGGATGTAATCGCGAGGCGAGGCCACCCACATTCCCTTACATCACTCACATGCACTGCCTTGCCGAGCACAGGGGGATAAACTTCCACCACCTTGCCAATGTCCACGCCCTGATCGGATTAGACATTCCCAAGCGACGTAAAGACAGGGTGGGCAGTGGGCAGTGGGCAGTGGGCAGTGGGCAGTGGGCAGTGTAAGGAGGCGGTTTTTGATTTGACTCAAAAATTGAGTATGGGAGGGTGCACCTCCACCACCTTGCCAATGTCTACCCCCTGATCAGTTGCCAATGTCAACATACAGACAGCGTTTGCAGTGGGCAGTTGAGAGAGGGCGAGGGCGTTGAAGAGGTGAGGGGATGAGAGGCAAACAAGCAGCAGTCCTTTGAGAATATTTCAAGTGGCATTGGGCGACATTCACACGAATGTGGTGAGTGAGTGAGTGTGAGGGAGTAGGTGAGCGAATGAGATGAGAGGACGGGAGGGAGCGACAGTGTAGCTGTGGTGATGCAGAGTGTGCCATGGGTATTCAACGGTAGGCAGTCGAAACTCTTCGACAAATGATAACTCAGACCCTGATAAGATAGTAGGGAAGAAAAAAACAAACAAATGGGAGGGAGAGAAACTACCTAACGGTGCAGCAGTGCACAATAAGGTGGCCGCGCACTGTATCAACAACTTTAACACAGGCAAAAAACACAGAGATAACCAGAGAGTGGTGCAAAACAAAAACAAATCTGATGACTGACAGTGCAGCAGTGCGCCATGAGGTGCGTGGCATGCGTGTGCAGCAGTGCGAGCGGCATGTCGAGGAAGCGAGGTCAGCCCACGAGCACAGCCCCCACAAAACATATAACGGAAAACAAAACGTTACTGAAGACTGACAGTGCAGCAGTGGTCCATGAGGTGGGTCGCATGCGTGTGCAGCAGTGCGAGAGGCATGTCGAGGAAGCGAGGACAGCCCACGAGCACGGCTCCCAGGAAGCGCGGACGCACTCCGATGCTCTGCAGGAACTGCAGCTTCGCCACCAGCTCTGAGAGCGATACCTGCCGGCGCTCCAGTAGCGAGGCCACTGCTGCTGGCTGCGAAAGGGGGATGGGACGGGCGTGGGAGGGGGATGGAAGGGGAGTGGGAGAGGAGGGAAGGAAAGGTCTGTAGGAACTGCAGCTTTGCCACCAGCTCTGAGAGAGAAACTTGTCGGCGCTCCAGTAGGGATGCCACCCCTGCTGGCTGTGGGAGTTGGGAGGGATAGGAAGGGGTGAGAAGGGCAGGCAAGGGGTGGAAAGGGGTGCGAATAGGCGTGTTGGAGAGAGGAGAGGTGTGATGGCAGCAGCTTCGCCACCAGTTGTAGAGAGAGGGATACCTGGTGGCGCTCCAGTAGTGAGGCCACTGCTGCTGGCTGCGAAAAGGTGATGGGAAAGGGATGGGAGGGGGATGGGAAGGGGATGGAGGGGAAATGGAAGGGAAGAACAAGAGAAGTTTGATGGCTGCAGCTTCGCCACCAGCTCTGACCGCGATGGGAGGTGCAGGAAAGGGTGAGAGGGGGTGGAAAGGGGTGAGAAGGGGTGAGAAGAGGAGGGAAGGAGAGGCATGATGGATGCAGTATGTGTGTGTGTGTGTGTGTGTGTGTGTGTGTGTGTGCCTGTGCTTTTGCATGTGCACACTAATGTGCATGGGCATGTGCATGTGTATGTATCTACAAGTCTGCATGTGCATGTGCATGTGCATGTGCATGTGCATGTGCATGTGCATGTGCATGTGGATGTGCATGCAAGCGGCTCACCTGCAAGCCCATGTTCACAAGCATGACCACAATCCGAGGCAGCCCCTGCACCTGCAGCGAGTCAGCCACTAACGAGGATAGAGACGCGGCCATGGGCAGGTTGAGGCGGTATGACACCCAGTCGCAGCGTCGAGCCTCTGCCAGGAGCGAGTGGATGGTGCGCGGCATGCTGCCCGCCACCTGGTGGGTTTGGAGGAGGGTGGGGGGAAGTTGCAGGCAGAAGGAGAGTTGGAGGGGTTTGGATAAAATGATTGTAGGGGGATGTATGGAGTGAGTGGATGAGGCGCGGCGCGGCATGCTGCTCGCGATTTGGTGGGTTGGAATGGGTGGAGGAGGGCAGAAGGGAAGAGGGGGGGGAGGGGGAAAGGGAAAGAGAAGGGCTTGGGGAAAAGAGCGGTGTGGGGTTGTACGGAGTGAATGGCTGGTGCAAGGCATGCTAGCAGCCATCTGGTGGGTCGAGGTGGAGGGGAGCGGCTGGGATGTAGGAGGGGAGTTTTTTTCAGGGAAGGAATTGGGGGAAAGTACGAGCTTAGCGAATGGCCTTCACTTTGGTTCGATTCGATGGACTTGCTCAGTTACTTACGCATGCCTTGCCGGCCTCTCTATTCCCATCACGCTTCTTTTACGCTCGTGTTGAATTCCTTTATTCTAGGACACGGGCGCACACCTTTTCAACACAAGGCACACAATCATGTCTCTACGAGGGGAAGCCAAATCTCAACCTCTGAGGCACAGTAATTTTACTCAGGCGGAAGCCATCTGAGTCCAAGGCACATCTGGATTAGAGGGAAAGTGAGGGGCTGAGGAAAGCATGAGTGGGGCAACGGAAAGGGATGCGGGGTGGGTGGGAAGAGGAGGTGCATGCAGGGGTATTAGAGAAGTAAGAAAGGCCAGGAGGGGCGGAGGGGGCGGGGTGGAGTGGAAAGAAAAGCAGAGGGAGAGGTAGAGGAAGAGGGAGAGGGTGAGAGAGAAGAGGGGAGAGTGTACCTGTGCAGCAACGGAGGGAGAGAGGCCTTCAGAGGTCAGGTGCAAGGAGAAGAGGTCTCGAACCAGTGTGGTGGGGCACGTGGTGGGACTGGTGGGGGCCGGTGCAGTGTGGTGGGATGCGATGTCACGGTCCTAGGAAGGGATGGAGGAATGGAGAGGGGGAGGGGGTTGGGTAATAAATGGGTGCGGAATAATGGGGGGAGGAGATGCGAGGGGGTGCGTGTGCAGGTTTGGTTAAGAAGCTGCTACTGAGGGAAGCTAAGAAAGGAAACGAAAGGAGAGGCAACGCAGAAAGGCAACGAAACGTGCTACAGAGAGCAAAGAACCTGTCACGCCCACGCACACCGTGCAGTGCATCGATTTCTGAGTCGACTCAAATGCCCTGTCAAGCTCACATTGTGCAATGGTCATGCGATGGTCATGCAATGGTCATGCAATGGTCATGCGATGGTCATGCAATGGTCATCTGATTTGACCCCCCTCCTCTCCTCGCCTCGCCTCGCCTTGCACGCAAGCAACTCTTCATTGGCTCCTTCTCTGCTTGTCAACACATCTCCCACCTCCCTCCTCCTCTTTCCAATGCTCTCTCTAAGTTTACCCAACGGAACCATCTCACTCACCTCTTTCTCAAACTTGTCTGTATTTTGCGCCCCTCCCCCTTCTAGGTCGTCCAGTTCTTCCTCCTCCTCTTCTTCCCACATCTCTCCCTCCTTACCCCCCTCCTCTTCCTCTTCCTCCCAAAACTCCTCTTCCTTCTCCTCCTCCTCCTCCTCCTCCTCCTCCTCCTCCTCCTCCTCCTCCTCCTCCTCCTCCTCCTCCTCCTCCTCCTCCTCCCAATTCTTCTTCCCCTCCTCCCAAATCTCCAGTTCCTCCTCCCACTTCTCTATTCTTGCTCCCTTTATTCCAACGCCCCTTGCATGCCCTGCCCAGCTGCCATCCTCCCTCTCCTCTTCCCTCTTCTCCCTCTCCTCCCTTTCCTCCCACTCCCTCTCCGCCTCTACCTTCCCCGAGTCCATAACCTGACCTACTTCCCCCCCATCCTCCCTTGCCTCTCCTCGCGTCCTCCCCTTCCTCACTCTCTTCTCAATCCCCTCCGCCACACCTCCCCTATTTTCCCCTCGATCTCCTAACGTTCCCTCCTCCTCCCCACCGTGCATGGCAACAGTCCCCGCCACAGCTTCTTTTACCTCCTTCCCCTCCCCGTCCAGGACGTCCCCCCGCCTCCGCCTCCCCCTGCGCCGCCTCTGGGGCGCCTCAACAGCACCCTCCGCCCCTGCGCGCATTGTGACTGCGCCCACCACTGCTTCCGCCACCCCCTCCACCTCCACCACCAGGTCTCTCCGCCTCTGCCTCCGCCTGCTTCTCCTCTGGGGGGCCTCAAGAAGAGAAGCCTCCGCCCCTGCGCGCATCGTAACTGCGCCCACCACTGCTTCCGCCACCCCCTCCGCCTCCACCTCCACCACCAGGTCTCTCCGCCTCTGCCTCCGCCTGCGCCTCCGCATCTCCTCCTCGCGCCCCGCCTCCCGCGCCAGGCGGCCCCCCGCCATCACTCCCCCCACCACCGCCTCCGCGGCAGTCGCGGCAGCAGCGGAGGGGCTGGCGGAAGGGCTGGCGGAAGGGGTGGCGGAGGGGATAGCGGAAGGGGAGGCGGAAGGGGTGGCGGCAGGGGTGGCGGAAGGGGTGGCGGAAGGCCCCGATGCGTGACTCACAGCAGCTGCGGAGGACCCAGCGGACGGTCGCGCGGCCTTCCGCGCGCCTTTCCGCGGCTGCGGTGGCGCATCGGCGCGCGAGTGGGCCTCCTCCGCAAGGCGAGCCGCGCGCAGCCGGCGGACGCGCGTTCCGCGGGCTGCTGCGGACCCGCCCTGCGGAAGCAACCCGCCGCGGAGAGCTTCCGCGGCCGTGCCAGCCATCCCCGTCAGCCGCCGCCTCTCCGCGCCGCACGAGCGGTGCGGGTAGGGCGGGAAGGGACCCGCGGGCGAAGGGGAACTGGCACACGCGGGCGCGGTATGGGTCGGAAGAACGCGCGCATGGTTACCGAGAGCGCGCGGGATATTGACATTGAAATCGTGTGCGACGATGCCATACCGCATTGCGCGGCGCAGGTTGCGCTACTGGTTGTGAGGTGGCCCCTCGAAGGTAGCGGTACTAGTACTAGAGGTAGCTCGCTGCGTAGAGTGGGAAAGTGCAAACTGGGGAGGGTGTAAACTGGGGAGGGTGCGAACTGGGGCGGGTGCGAACTGGGGCGGGTGCGAACTGGGGAGGGTGCGAACTGGTTAGGTGCGAATGACCAGCGGTGGAGGGAGCATGCACGGCGAGCAGTCACGGCGCGTCAAATCAAAGAGTCGCTTGCGCAGCTGTGAGCGGGAAGCGCCGTTTCAGGAGCACGGCGGAACTACATGGCGGTCATGGTGCAGGGGCGGAGAGAGATACAATGCGACAGGTCGCGCCACTCTCCAAATGTTATACGCCCACGCTCGCTGCACGTCCGCCGCCGTTGACCTGCTTGACCTTTGCGCGCGCCGCCCCGCCACTCAAACCGAGCCAGCTCTACATGACACCGCTGCACACGGCGTGCCCCTCGTTGCTTCCTCTCCTTGCCCTAACTCACGGGAATCGCACCCGCGCACACACTCTTTCGCTCTCGCCCTCTCCTCGTCTGACCACTCGCTGTTGTACCCTGCGATTCTGCGATTCTGGCCTTCAATGCGTGAAAATGCTCTGCAGAACTGGATTTGCATGGCACACATTTGGTTGTTTGTATCAGCTGCTGCTGCTGGAAGCGGGGGTTGCATAAACATACCAGTAGAAAAAAGGTGTAGTTTTGGAGTGAGAAATTGTTATTTTATTTCTCACAGGGTCAAAATCCGCTTATGGTACAAAACACATTGGAAGGTACAAAACAAAAAAAAACCTAACAAAATATGGCCATTATTGGCTACAAGGAAAACAAATGCCCTATGGTGCGGGTATATTACAGGTGACCGAATTTTGCACGGTCTTGAAGATTTCTAGATCCTACAATCTCAAATCTAGGTCCATTTCATTTCCTTTTGGAGGCCCTTGCATGCTAGGCTGTGTATCGAGACTTGAATGATGGGCATACTCTGCACCTGTACCCTCCATGTGCATATGAGTAGATAATATGCCATGACCCTCCTGTGTGGATAGCGCTTGGCTAATGGATCCCAAGGTGCCCGATGGGTGCATAAGGGGATGGTTTGTGAGGGGTTGCAACTGGGTGGCAGCTGAAGTGGTTACAGGAGTAGTAGTAGCAGCAGCAGCAGCAGTGCTGGCGGCAGCTGCAGTGCTGGTGGTGGCCATGGCTCTGTCTTTATCTGTACCTTCCTCTGCTTCCGCGGCAGTAGCAGCAGCAGGAGCAGCAACATTCAGATCAAAAGCTACAGCCCTCACCCCCTGTTGCTTCCCAGAGCTACCCTCCACAAAACTGTTTCCTTTAACTGCAATGCTGCTGCTCTCTCCCACCCTCTTCTCCTTCCCTCCTGCCTTCTTCTCGTGCACCTGCAAAGCTGCCAGCCCGGCACCTAACACCTCGTTAGCAGCTCCTTCGCTACTAGCACGAGGACGCACGTTTCTGTCACTGTACCCTGCACCAGCGCCGCCAACACACCCTTCCGCGACCCGCTGCTCTCCAATGCTCACAGCCTCATCAAACACCCCGCTATAAGTAGACGCCAGAGGCTGCTGGAAATACCTACTGGATCGCCTCAGCGTCCCCCCCGCGGCTGGGAGTATCCCCATTGCCCCCGCGCCCGCGCCGGCGCTCACGCCCGCGCTTACACCTGCGCCAGCGGTTTCCTGACTCCCCACAACGCCACTGGACCCCCCTCCCCCGCAGCCGTGACGCGCGTTCTCATGGTATCCAAGCGCGTGCAGCGAGGGGAACTTGAGGAAGCACGTGGGGCAGGCGTAAGGCCCGCCTACCGTGCAGGACCCGAGATTCGCGGCGGTGGCAACGGTGGGACTCAGCAGGCGCAGCATGTCTCCCGCGCTCATTCGCGGACGGGATACGGCAGAGCGGGGGCTTGGGGTGGAGGAGGCGGACGCGGAAAAGCTCGAGCGGCGGAGCCGGCGGAACTCCGCGGGTCGACCTCCCCAGGCGCCGCCGGCGGAATCGTTCCGCGGCGTGCCGGAGGGGGAAGGGGTCGGGGAGGAGAGCAATGAGGACACGCGCGCTAGCTGCGCAATTGGGGAAGAATGCGCTGTTGCAGTCGCTGCAGCTGAGGGGGAGGGGAAAGAATCCCCCGCACCCGGAATGGCGAGTGGCGGAACAGCGGAAAGGTCGATGGTGGGAGCGCGGTGCATTATCATGGTCCTGGGGGACCCGGGAAGTTGCCGCGTCCGTTCCACCGCAGTAACGCTGCGATGCAATGCTCTAGTAGCATTTGTAGGTCCAGTGCTATTCGCCCTCGTTGTGGGAGCTCTACGGACCGCGGTGATGCCGCCACCGAAGCCGCCGCCGCCGCGGCCGCTGAGATAGGAGGGGGAGTTCAAGCCACTACTAGCGGGTGATGCGGAGGCGCGTCCGATAGGATCGAGACCGCGACGCCTGATGGGGCTCTCCGACATGCCGAGGCGCTGCTGACTCGGATGAAGCTGAGCTGGATGCTGCTGCTGATGCTGATACGCCGCGGCGCGGACGGCGTGAATGATGCTCGTTTCGGCTGCGGTCTCGACGCATTGTAGCGGAAGAGACTCCGCGCGGCTCAGGAGAAGCGGCTCTCGCAGGGCAGCGGCGTCGCGTTTTCTCTTGTTCTGCAGGGCGACGCGATTCGGTTCGTCGCGCTGGGCGTCGCCGCTGCGGCGCGGGGTGATTTCGCCCTGGCGGCGAACGGGGGAGTCGTTGCCGCTTTCCCCGCACTCTACTGTATCGCCACTGCAACGGAAGCGCGGGCTAGGTGAGCCTTTCTCGAGACTGGAAGTGGGAATCAGACCTCTCTCAGCCATGTTTTCGATAATGCCGTAGAAGAGGGAGAGGCGCGAAGGGACGCAAAGAGGCGAGGCCATGTTACGAGCAAGCAACCTGCATGGACTTGATCGTTGCAAGGTTTGAGCTTTGGCTGCGACGGACCTTTTTCGATCACTACCGTTGGCCGAGGAGTCGTATAAGGATGTGATCCGAGTGAAATGTCGAACGGTTCTGTCAGGGAGGGCGGAATGGAGGCTCTCGAATTTGGCCACCAATTTATGCTGTGAAAGTGCAAGGCGGGCAAGGTGGATTGCGTGGGTGGATTGTGAAGGGTATTCAACATCTAATGACTCAGTATGACGTTTTTCGAACCCAAACGTTCGTAATGTCAGGGACCTATCTTTACACATGGATTAATGGTAATAAAAAAGGCGACTCCTAAAAGTTACGCTGTAAAAAAAACAATATGTACAAGGGAAGATAGGGAAACAACAACATCAAACAGCATACTCTTGTAATTTTTGTTAGTTCCAGAGCTAAGTTTTGGATATTTTGTGCTATAATTAACATTTTCTCAAAATTTTAATGCTCAAAAACAAATAAAAAATGTTCTAAAATAAGTTTGATTGAAAAGCATTTATTGCTTCATTGCATTTATTGCTAGCGAAGAACAATATTATCCTTAACCCACACACGTTAATTTGTTTTGTTGCTTGCTTGGCGTGGAGAATCTCATGGATTTTTTTGTCTAAGCGCGCCAGCCTTCCCAGACCGTACTTAGTCGGAACTGACTTTTTGACCACCATACTGAAGCAGAATTTCAATGATTAAGCATATGCTAACACATGTATTTGATTCTTTTTGTTAAATTCTCTCAAAGAACTACGCGACGCGTTCCTGTCAATGCCATTTTGCACCATGATTGGCGAAACCTTACTTTCGTGGGGTGAATCCACTCATCAAGCTCCCAGAAGTTAGTCTAGCCAATCATGTGCAAGAAAAAGCTGAACCCGCGACACACGGCTCGATCCTTTGACTCGACCTAGCCCCCCAGGATACAGTATTTCCGCTGTAACGGCGATCAGCCGAAAGCTCTTTCCTCGCTGCTCCAACTATAATGCGGACAATAGAATCACAATGAGTGGTTATGGCGCGTGTGGGATGGCAGAAATGTTCTTGAACGTGGATGTTTTTCAATGCATTCCTATCCTCCAGAACATTGTTCATGCTGTACGGCATATCATTCTCATACTGAAAACCTTTTGTATTCCTTCTTCATTCATCCACGGCTCGCTGAATTCCTATCCCCAACCGTGCTAGAGACCAGGATGTTTTTGAACAATCGAATGGTACTGTACGTTGAGCTGTTTATTTCAGGGTAAGTTGTGACTTCAGATGTTTGGAAAAGGACAACGCACAACCATACAACCTCTTCCCCATCCGATCTTGTCGGGGCCCACCCAATTTAACGAACCAACAGCAACATTATCGAGTGCCGTTACAACAAAACGAGACGTGGCCTGGATGAAGCGGGTCACGTCCCAGCAGTAAACCGAACGTGTAACGACTTGCAACAAAATTCCACCCTGCGACGGTAACGGGAATGGTGCGTTTCTTTGCCGAGGTCGAACGCCTTTGTTTGTTCTGACCTGTTGTGACGTGGTTGTGAAGTTCTAATGCGTGTATGGACACCATGAAGCACACGAAAAGTCCAGAAACATATGCTTTACCTATCACACAATAAACACGAAAAACTACACAAATCCTCTTGTCACAGATGCTTTATCCATCACTTTTGTTTAACTCCCGGCTCCGCTGCTTAACATAAACAATACCTAGTACTATCAAATGCCTAAAGCCCAATGCTTCCTACATTCACCACTTCCACTACCACTAACTGGCCGCACAAGCAATTCCCCCAATTGGTGTGAACCACCAGTCCCAATTGCAAAATATACAACTGGTAGAGCTCTAAGTGATGTTGCAAGTAGTCAATGGATTCTAGCACCGTCTCTCAACCAGCAGAGGAGGATTTGAAGCCAACCAGGCCGTTACAGCCATGGTGGTTGCAGTCACATCACGTCACATGTGGCGGTGGCAAGCCCGTGGCACATGCAGAGAGCTTTAAGCCTAAAGTGGGATAGAGGTGGCGGTAGGTACTAGATAATCCATGGAGGTGCTTGGAAGACGGTAATAGCAGCCTGGTTTAGGATTGACTGGGGTGTTGCAGTTGCCTAGAAGCACGAAGGCGAGACCGGGACAATAACAAACAGGTGGAGAGGGCAAAGACTAAGGATCTTTGCGCGTGCGAAGCAGGAGAAGCAGAGGCGGAGGAAGCGGATTAAAGATGGGAGAGAGGTGAAAATGGAGAGGCAAAATGCAGGTGGCGCTAAGTGGCGAAACCAAACAGAAGGAGCTCTTGCTCTCAGCATCAGCAGCTGACAGAGGAGGGAGGAACTGAGAGGTCTGCAACAATCCAGGCAGATGATTGTGTGCGTCTGTCGAATGGTAGCGTGTGTGCGTGCGAGAGTGACTGAATGAGCGAGCGAGGGAGAGATCGAGAGAGAGAGAGGGTCAGAGAGCGAGTGGAGTTAGTCCTCGCCATCCGCGCCTTCTTGCGCGAGTGGCACGAGCGACTTGACAACTGTGCCCATGGACGGCCGGAATTCTGCCTCGTACTGCACACACAGCGCTGCCAGCGCTGCGAACTGCAGCAGGACGGGTGGAGAGGAACGGAGGGAGGGGGGTTCAAGAGCTAATGATGGGGAAGAGTTGCAAGCGGCACGAGCGACTTGACAACTGTGCCCATGGACGGCCGGAACTCTGCCTCGTACTGCACACACAGCGCTACCAGCGCTGCGAACTGCAGCATAGGGAGGGGAGGGGGAGGAAGGGAGGGGGAGGGAGGGAGGGGGCGGGAGAAAGCAGGAGTTTAGAGAGCTAAGAGTTGACAAAATCTCTGCCTCGTACTGCAAACGTAGCGCTGCCAGGCCCAGCGATGCGAACTGCACAGGGAACAGGGCGGGAGGGAAGCGAGGGGGAAGAGAGGTGAGGGGTGTCAAAGAAAAGAGCGAATGATGGGAAGAGCCGCGAGATGAAGAAAGGCCAAGAGTTGCCCGCAGCTTTGCCTTTGCCTCATACTGCACACAGCGCTGCCAGCGCTGTGAACTGCACAGGAGGGGAGGGGGAGTTAAAGGGAGAAAATGGATGATGGGAGGAAGCTAAGAGACAAGGGACAGCTAAGCGATGGCTGGAACTGTGTCTTGTACCCCTGTCATCCACACACAGAGCGTTGCCAACACTGCGATCTACATAACGGGGGCAGGCAGATCTAAGGAAGGATGATGGTGAAGCGTTGAGAGACATGTGTATGCAAATCGGTTTGTCGATGTGTGTATGCATGTGCGCATGCATGTGTGCACCCACATGCGTGTGTGCATGCAACCAATTCTCTCCCCGTCCCCTCCAAACCTGTCCTACGTTGGCAGATACGCCTTGGGCAGGGTTGCGTACCACGTATATACGCTTGCGTATGTACGTGGTACGCTAATACGCTCGTATTTCTTGAAAATACGCCCGGGCAGCCCGCCGGAAAAAAAAAATCGAAATTGAAAATTTTCGCGAAGGTTTTGCGACTTCGCGATTCGTTACCGCGAACTCGCTCACGCGCCCTAACCACATCTGAACTTCGAATGTCAAATTCCAATCTTTTCCACCCCCTCAACCACACACCACCCCACCCAACCTCTCAAACTCAACCACCCCTTTCAAATGTTCGTCACTTCATGAGCATTTTAGGTCGACGACTTCCACAGTGCTCTTCAATTTACTTCCCGCATGTCTCGTCTAGCATTCTTCCCCGTAGTTAGACGTTCCGTAGTCGCGCGCCCAGCGTATTTCAGCATATCAGCAGTAAGCCCTGCCCGGTAAAAAAGTTTTACCTGCCCGCCCAGCGTATTTTTGCGTATCAGCAGTACGCCAGCCATGGCGTACCGCGTATAAACCCAGCGTATAATATGCTAGCGTATTATACGTGATACGCGTATTTGCCAACGTAGAACCTGTCCTATGCCCTCTCATGCCACATTGTACCCTCCCACGCCCTGCCATGCCCCCCTGTGCACGTCAGCGTGTTCATTCATGCCCACCTTGACCACTGCCTTGGCAGGGAATGAGCCCTCGAGCTTTGGGTCCACGCAGTGCTCCACTCACTTCTGTCCTCCTGCTAGCCGCCCATGCCCTCTCACCCCTCACCTATGCCTTCCCACACCTATGTACCCCAACGCCTCCCTGTGCATGCCACTGCCTGCCTGCCTGTCTGCCGGCCTGCTCACCTTGACCACGGCCTTGGCGGGAAATGAGCCCTTGAGCTTGGGGTCCACGCAGTGCTTCACTCTGTCCTCTGCTAGCCGCCCGTGGGTGGCCTGGCCAAGGGGCAAGAGCAGGAGGAGGGAGAGGGGTGGGGAAAGGGGAAGGAAGGAGGGTGAGCGAGGGAGGGAATGAGCAGGGGTGGAGAGAAGGGGGGCAATTGGGACAAAAGAGAGAGGGTTGAGAGAGAAAGGAGGGACGGGAGGACGAAAAAGGGAAAGAGGGGGAGGAGGAACGGGGGGAAGGGAGGGAGGGAAGGGGATTGAGAGAGCAGGCAATAGTGGGAATGTAACTTGAGCCGGGCAAGGGAAGACCGAGAGGACGAGGATGATTAGAGCAAGAGAGAGTGCGCATGCACACACACACACACACACACGCACGCACGCACGCACGCACGCACGCACGCACGCACGCACGCACGCACGCACGCACGCACGCACGCACACACACACACACACACACATACACACAGAGAGATGTGCACGCGCTCGCTCACCCATTGCGCGAGAGACTGCAGGCCTCTAGCATGTTCTGGTCCACGGGCGTGTAATGTTTCCCCACCTCCCTCTCCCCTCCCCAACCCTCCCACCCACCCACACATGTGCGCGCGCGCGCGCGCACACACACACACACACACACACACACACACACACTCAGACTCACCCATTGCACAAGTGACTGCTGGCCACGTGGCATGTTCTGGTCCACGGGCTTGCGACCCGTCAGCAGCTCCAGCAGCACCACGCCAAAGCTGTACACATCACTCTTCTGCGTCAGCTGCCCCACCGTCGCATACCTGCCAGCACAACGAGGGATGGATGTGGACAGGTGAGAAGTGAGATGGGTGAGAGGGCGATGGACACGAGGAGTGAGCAGCATCAGCAGCTCCGAAACTGTACAGATCACTCTTCTGCGTCAGCTGCCCCACCGTCGCATACCTGCCAGCCATCATAGCACTGAGTGACGGATGTGGACGAGTGAGAGGGGTGAGAGGGCGATGGAAGATGGGAAGAGACACTAGGAGTGAGTAGCTCCAGCAGCAGCAGCACCACGCCGAAGCTGTACGCTTTGCTCTTCCGTGTCAGCTGCCCCACCGTCGCGTACCGGCCAGCCATAAGAACAACCCTCCTTCCCACTCCTGTCCACCACAACCTCCTCCCTTCTCCGCCCCCCTCCACCCCCACTTCTCTCCCCGCCCTCCCTCCGTCTCCCTCAGCCCACACTCCCCCCTCCCTCCCCCATCCCCCCTCCCCCCTCAAACCCCCCGCCACTCACTCAGGGCGTTGTACCCAAACGTGCCGAGCACGCGGGCGGAGTGCAGGCGGGACGCCTGGTCCGGGGCCTCGTTGGCCACATTGAAGTCCGCGATCTTGGAGGAGAAGTCCTCAAACACCAGCACGTTGCTCGACTTGACGCCCTTGTGCACCATGGGCGGGTTCGCCTCCTCGTGCAGGTACGCCAGCCCAGTCGCCGCGCCCAGAGCAATCTTCATGCGCTGCTGCCACGTCAGCGTGATGGGCGTTTCGTCCGTCTTTATGGCCAGCTTCCGGCCTGCAGGAAGGGGAGTGGAGGGGGGGGGGGAGCGGAACGGCGTGGGGATAGGGGAGAGTTGGACGCAGGGAATCCGGGGAAAGGGGGAAGAAGGGAGCATAAAAAAGGGAGCATAAAAAAGGGGGGGGAGACATGGAAAGGGGGTGGGGGACAAGGCAGGGGAAATAGGTGAGGGAAGGGGAGGCGGTGAGGTGGTTTGTGGGGATGGCGAAACACCCTTGTGCACCATGGGGGGGTTCGCCTCCTCGTGCAGGTAGGCCAGTCCAGTTGCGTGCTGAGGAGGCAGGAGGGAGAGGTAGAAATGGGGGGATGGTGAGGTGGTAAGGTGAGGGAAAGACTGAGTGAGCACTGCGCACTGCGTGAAAGCAACAGAAGCGGACGCAGAAATGGGCTCAAGAGCGGGCAGAGCAGAGAGAGAGCGCAAAGCAGTGCGGCAGCGAGACCTGAAGAGCATATTCAGAGCAGAGCAGAGCAGAGCAGCACAGAGCAGAGCAATGCAGGGCAGAGAGCGCAATGCAGGGCAGAGAGCGCAATGCAGGGCGGGGAGGGCAATGCAGGGCAGCGCAGGGAGCGCAACACAGGGCAGGAGAGAGGGCGCAAAGCAGGGCAGAGGAGGGCAGAGGAGGGCAGAGGAGGGCAGAAGAGGGCAGAGGAGGGCAGAGGAGGGCAGAGGAGGGCAGAGGAGGGCAGAGGAGCGCAGAGGAGCGCAGAGGAGCGCAGAGGAGCGCAGAGGAGGGCAGAGGAAGGCAGACGAGGGCAGAGGAGGGCAGAGGAGGGCAGAGGAGGGCAGAGGAGGGCAGAGGAGGGCAGAGGAGGGCAGAGGAGGGCAGAGGAGGGCAGAGGAGGGCAGAGGAGGGCAGAGGAGGGCAGAGGAGGGCAGAGGAGGGCAGAGGAGGGCAGAGGAGGGCAGAGGAGCGCAGAGGAGGGCAGAGGAGGGCAGAGGAGGGCAGAGGAGGGCAGAGGAGGGCAGAGGAGGGCAGAGGAGGGCAGAGGAGGGCAGAGGAGGGCAGGAGCGCAAGGCCGGGCAGGGAGCGCAAGGCAGGGCAGGGAGCGCAGAGGAGCGCACCGTGCAGGATGTCGTGCAGGCTGCCGTGCTCCGCGAGTTCGTACACGAGCACTCGCTGCGGGCCGTCACAGCAGAACGCCATGAGCTCCACCATGCCCGCGTGCCGCAGGTTGCTCGCCACTGCCACCTGCACCATGCGTTGGCAGGAGAACGGGGAGACAGTTGAGGGGCGCAAGAGTAGGTTCTCTTGAGTTGACTTGAAAACAAGGAGGTCCACTCCACCCCACCATGCCTGAGTGCTGCAGATTGCTCGCCACTGCCACCTGCACCATGTGTTGGCAGGGGAAGCGGGGTAGAGAGAGGAGCGGTGCAAGCAGGCGGACAAGAACCTGCCTTTGGGTTGACTTGAAGGCCGTGAACTCCACCATGCCCGAGTGCCACTTACTTGCACTTTTCCACCTGTAAAGATTCACCCCATTGCACGCCTTTCCCTCCTTCACTCCTCACTCGCCACGTCTGAGTAACATTGGCATGTTCTAGTGACATGCACTCACTCACTCACTCTCCCCGACTGTGATCTCACCTCGTACTCCTGATTAGTGTAACGCCTCCAAAGTTGCATCGCACTCCTCACTCACTCTCCGTGCTTGCTACGCCTGCTCACGTTACCCACTCTCCATTCCATTCGGGAAACCCTATCCACGCTAATGCCCCCACCCATGCCATTCTTTCCCCGGTATGCTTCTTCTCCCTTGCCCACTTCACTCTACTAACCCCCCTCTTCTCTCCATTCTGTATCGTCCACTCTTTGTACAACCTCAGCCAATAAGATTTCGAGGCGCCTCAAGGACCAATCAGACCATCACCTCTTTAATGTTCCTTTCTTCCCACGCCTCACTCTTTCAAGCCTCTCTCTTTCCCGCCTCTTTCTTCCCAGAAACGCGTCTCTGTCCCTCCTCCCTCCACCCCCTCTTCTTTACCTGCCAGCACCACATTCAACTCCTACTCCCGGACTGACTTCCACAGCGCTTCGACCCCAAACATCCCGCTTTCCCCCATCCCCTTGGCCCATCCCCTTGCCTCCATTCGATTTTCCCATGGCCTTTCCCCATCCCCCTCATCCCGTCTGCCTTCCCCGTCGCGCCTCCCCTGATCCCCTTCTCCTCATTACCTCCCCCGCTTCCCCATTCATTTTTCCCCCTTCCGTCTCATTTCATCCCATCTCATCCCATCCCTTTCCGCCTCCCCCTAGAGTCTCTCCCTCCCTCATCCCAATCTCCAAACCTTCCTCCACTTCCCCCATCTCTTTCCCTTTTTACATCCCCTTTCTCCACCCTTTCCCCCCTTCCCCCCCGCCTAACCCGTCTAGGATCTCCTACTCGAGCTGCGTGAAATGAGACGAGTTTTGACGCGGCTTAAAACTCGACTTCTCCTCTCCCCTCCCTTTTCCTCCCCTCCCTTTTCCTCCCCTCCCTCTCCCTCTCCCCCGCACCTCATTTAGGTACTCAGTTTCAGGCTGCAAGTTCGCGTGGTAATAGCTGGAGGCAGTTTTGGGTCGACTAAAGAGAAAAACATCCTCTGACTTCAACTCACCCCGCCTAGGAACTCGTCCTCTCGCTGCGAGCCCGGCCCCTTGCCCGTTTCCCCCCTTGCCCTCGCAATTGTTCTTCTACACCTCCATTTCCCCCCTCTTTCCCCCTTCCCCCTCCCCCCTCCCCATCTCCCCCCCTCCCCCCCTCCCTCCCTCCCCACTCACCCCGTCTAGGAACTCGTCCTCTGGCTGCGACCCCGCGTCAAGCTTCTTAATCGCCACGGCGCGCCCGTTAAGCTCGCCGCGGTACACGCGGCCGAAGGAGCCCTCGCCCAGCATGCTCGACGGGTTGAAGTTGTTGGTCATCGCCTTAAAGTCCGCGATCGTCATCCGCGGAACCGACACCTCCGTATTCCGCGCGCCGCCGCTCGAAGGCTTCGGCGCCGTGGCTGCGCGCGGAACGGATGCCAGGAGGGGGAGGGGGGAGGGGGGAGGGAGCGGGGGGTGGAAGGGGAAGGGGCGGGGAGGATGTGGGGGAAAGAGGGAGAGGATGGAGTGAAGGAAGGAAGAAAGGAGAGAAGTAGAAGAAAGAGTGAAGGGGAATGGGAGAGCGGCGCCCGTTAAGCTCGCCGCGGTACACGCGGCCGAAGGAGCCCTCGCCCAGCATGCTCGACGGATTAGAGTTGTTGGTCATCGCCTTAAAGTTCGCGATCGTCATTCGCGGAATCGACACATCCGAGCTCCGCGCGCCGAAGCCCTCGCTGTGGCTGCGCGCGGAAGGGAAGCCCGGGGAGGGAAGAGTGGGGGGAGAAGGGGGAAGCGCGGGGGGGGGATGGGGGGGATGTGGGGAGGAGGGGAGGAAGAACGGAAGGAAGGAGGAGAAAGAAAAGGAAGGGAGATCGGGGGAGCTGGGGCGGGGGGTAGGTAAGCAAAGGGAACCGGGGGGTGGTGCAAGAGGGTGCAGGTACGGTGAGGGTAAGATGAGGGGGTAAGGTTAACCAAGGCGCGAGAAGAGGCAAAGACGAGCGAGAAGCGCAGGAGAAGCGGAGGAGGAAGACCAGGCACGGCGCGCGCGTGACAGCGCAACTGGAAAGCAAGGAGAAGCGGAGGAGAAGCGGAGGAGGGAAGCGGGAAGGGAACTAGGCCTGCGCAGATTGACAAAGGGAGGGGGATAAGCAGCGCAGCGGCGAAAACAAGCGGAAACGGCATAACAAGAGAGGCCCACGGCAACGAGAGTTGAACCACGAGTGGCACAGCGCGGAAAGAGTTGACTGGACAAAAGAGCAATGCGAAGGAGGAAGAACCCAATGTGAAGGCGAGTCCGAAACAGAAAACGAGTGGGCGGTGGTACTGCGGACGCAGCGTGGTGGCGAGTCAGTACAGGAGAGTTCAAAGGGAGTTGACGGCGCAGCGAAAGGTGGTGACAGTTAAGTCGGCCTAAGAGGCACCTTGTTACAACGTCAGCCTTAGAGTGATGCTTGCGAATGGGGTGGTGGGATAGCAGAGTTTAAGAGGAGGGAAGAGCTTGTGCGCGAGGGACGTGGCGGAAGCGGCGGGAGCGGCGTGCGCGGCGGACGCGCGCGGATGAGAAAGGAAGAGGGTTCGACGAGTTAGAGGTGAAGCAGACAGAGCGAGACGAGGAGGAGAACGAGAAAAGGAGGAGAACGAGAAAAAGGGAGTAAGGGGAAAATAAGGGAGACGTGGATTTCAGTTTTTGTAAATGCTACTCCCATGACGACTTTAGGAAGTCGTCGAATCGATAATGAAAAAGAGGAACAGGGAGGTAGGGTTCACGGACGGGAACAACGGCGCAGTACGAGACGCATTTCCTCTGCGGAATCCATGTCGCTGTTCCAATGCAATACCTTAGTACTCTTTTTTTTAAGTGACGAACCTCGGTGCTTATTCTAGACTCGTAACACGTTGACGCTTGCGACTTCGATTCACCTTCTATTAAAAACTAAGAACCAGCTGGAACAAAGGGGAGGACCAGCCAATGAACGAGGCAAGTAGCCTACCCGGAGCTTCAGACAAGACCAAGATCCACTTCCCAATGGTCGCAAGGCTTGTCGGCCACGAGCAAAGGAACGAAGGAACGAGAACAATTGAACAACGGCGAGAAAGGGATGGCTGTGACGTGAGCGCCACGTACCTTTTGCAGCCGCAGTGACATCGTACGGATCGCTGATCGCCTTGCTGGAGAAGCAGCCCATGGCGGCTTCAGGCCTCCACCAGGCAGAAAGAAAGAGCAATTGAACCGCGACAGTAGCGTGGCGACGTTCTTAATACTCGGCGTTGGCTGCTCTGTGCGAGAAAATCAGGGGTTGCTTCGCGTGATGCTTGGGGATGGTCACCGAGGCGAGGGACTGCACGAAGACCTCGAGGCGTGTTAAGGAACTGCTGACGTGAGCGTGAATCATGAGATCGGACACATTTTTAACTCTGCCGCATGGTTAATTAATTAGTGTATGCCGTGAAATTGAACCGCTAACGGATTCTGTCCTACCAAGACGACAATCCGAATACGCCAGATTAACGAGTTGCGACTTGATGTTCAACCACACGAGGCAAGATAAGGAACAAATCAGGCAGACTCAGGCGATGACGCCATGATCCTCCTCCTTGCAAAAAGAAACTCGTTCAACCAAGCTAAGGTGAGACACGGAGCGACAAACCACCTGATGAATTCCTCTGCCAGTCCCAAAACCTAGATAGTATACAGGTAAGGACGAGATATTAGTTGCTTAGGGATGGGAGTTCCAAGGTGAAGCAAGCCTTGATACTTTCAGCAATACTTTCGAGGTCCTTCACTTTTAAAAATTTTAACGTAATGGAAACCACTGAACCGTGTTCAACCTCCCACACAGTCTCTAACCTAGTTTGGTCAACCCCAAGGTGGCACACCCACCGCACACCCCGCAGAACGTCTACTTTTCTGGAATCACCGACCAGCAAGCAGGAAGAGATAAAGAAAAAAAAGACGTTCAGAACATTTCAAAGCGGCACAATACGGTTTGCTTGGCACCCACAAAGTGGGGCGGGAACGAATATCGAACACGTATGCTTGTGAGAACGACTATGGAACCAGTAAGCCGGGTCCAAGTGTATGCTGGCTTGCAACATTTTTCACTCGGGCGGCACGAGGGCAGTTTCGCTGGTCGGGTTCGTGCTTCACAGGTCGCCCCCTTCCTTTTTCGTGTCAGTGCTATCCAGGGCTTTTTTTACATGTGTTCCAGAATTAAGTGTAATCGGAGAAACTATCCCCCAAGGTGAAGGTCAATTTCTGCCCGAGTTTAAGGGCGTGTTAATCAGGGCTAGTCTGACGAACCAGGCGCAAACGAGATCCCACACAAATCACGGTCTGAATGACAAGATCGACCCCTCCAATTTTGCGAAGCCGACCAGCAGATTTGCTCAGGCCCAAGCGGACCAGAACAGTGTTACTGTGGCTGGTACATATTTAGGTACATGTCCTCGACTTGGATCGCAGCTGGCCACTCTAGTCCGCGGATTGAAGTGCCTGATTTGTAGCGGATCAGGGGCTACGCGGACCATGAGTAACACGTCCTGACCTAGACGTGGGAGTTCCCGGAAGACCGGAACCTTTGTGTTGTTGATTACCATGGTGCCCTCCTGCCCTGCAAATTTGGAAGTGGCCGCGTCGCGAGTTCAGTATGAAACCTGAGGCTGCACAACTTGAAACGAAGGGACCTTAGAATTTGTAACATGAAATTATCTGTACATGACAGGTTAGCACGTACAGCCCTGCATGAGGAATCTTTCAGCCCTACAGACGTTTTCCTAATGCAGACCGGAGTCATCAAGCCTGAGAGAAATGCATGGTCTAAGTTCAGCCACGGAGGGCTCTCTCCACAACCCAAATTCTCGACCTCCCTAATTTCAATAACCCTTCAAATCGTCGCTGCGGTATATCTGTATGCACTTTTCCAACACCTCCTCTTTGCGGTGATTCCATTTCTCTCTCCCCAACTTGGAAAACTCGTAAAGCAAAGACAGCAAGCAGCAGCAGTGCATGGAGGGAAAGTGGGGGGTCGGTGGGGGAGAGAAAGGGAGAACGGGGTGGAGGAGAGGGGAGGTGGAGGAGCTGGTGCTGGGTAAGCTAAATGGAGGTATGGAGTGCATTTATGGTTGTGATTTACCTGAGAAGTAGCGAGTGCCGACCCAAGCTGCCCACAGAAATTTTTGAGCCGGGAAAATGCTGTAAACAACAGCATTGCAGCAAACTCAACTTCATAGCCACCGAAACAGCGGGGGCAGCAGCAGCAGCAGCAGCGGCGGCAGCAGCAGCAGGGAAATGCAACAACAGCAGCGGCAACCCAGGCCAGAAACAGCAACGTGTTCAGCAACGTTTCCATCCACCCTGTTACGGTAGAACAATCTGCAACCAGGAACAATTTCAGCTACCAGAAGTTGAGCAACCAGGGACATATGTCAGCATCCAGCAACAGTTTCGGCTAGCAGGTTCAGCATCCATGCAGCTACCAGCAACCAGCTACCAGCAACCCGCAACAGCTAGGGAGTCAAGTGGGCAGAGGTAAAGGTACGCTGCCACAGCTCATCCGTCCCTTCCCAGCAGCACAGGGTGAGCGGCAGCTACTGCGGGACAGGTGCTAGAGCCAGTGACCTTGGATTCGCATGCCAACATGCATGTTCCTTACTGCGCTGATGTGCCTGTAAGGACGGGCATGGTCTGCTGGTGCGTGCGTGCGTGCAGCTATGGTGTGTCCAGATGAGTCAGGATAAGCAAGAGGGGGTGCAGAGAATGAGGAGGCGAGGAGAAAGTGCGAAAGCAGCTACTGGCAAGACCGACACAGTGAGAAGGGAGAGCACTGGACAGAAGAAGACTGCTGGAATGAAATAAAGGCGAACGAGAGAGCAAAAGGGGCTAGCAGCAGAGAGAAGAGGCGGGGAGATGAGGCGGGGGAAGAGGGAGCAAGGAGAGGAGACAAGAGGGGGCCGAGACGGGCACATGAGGTCTTCAAATACATAGGCGCGGGCAGCTAGAGAACTAGAAATACTAAAACTTGTGAATCTACATTGCAGCCTGCAGTGGCACATGCGGTCTTCCAATGTTTCCAATGTGGCTCGGCTCAGTGCGTGCTTCCTGCAGGTGAGCAGGGAAGGAAAGACACAAGGACAATGCAAAGACTCTCAGCGGAAGTATATGCGCTAGAAAATTGAGAGAAAGGAAATCAGTGTTGGATCCTGAGAGCGAGAGGGAGATGCTCATGGCAGGTGTTTGACTTGCTAATGAGCCTTTTGCTGCTGTACCACTTGTATTCAATGACGAGAGAAAGGGAGAGAGGAAGAGAGGAAGGGCGAGGGTCACAAGTGTCATGATGCAGAGAATTAAGGGAGGGAGAGGGCAATAAGTCGTCAAGCCCCTCATGGTCGTGGTAAAACACACTGTCCTGCGCTGCTACTGCGCTGTGAGGCACCTTGAACCAAACATGTTTGCAGAGGCAGAAGCTTACAGGTAGCAAGATGCAGCGGGTGAGCGAGTGAGAGAGGCAGAGTTCAGTCGTCAAGCCCCTCATGGTCGTGGTCAAAGACGCTGTCCTGCGCTGCTGCTGCCTCGTCCACGTCCTCCTCCTCCCTGCTCACAATCATGCCCCGCACGCCCCGCATACCGCACATGCACCACATGCACCACACGCACCACATGCACTACATGCAACACATGCAACACATGCCACACATGCACCCCATGACCCCCATGCACCTCATGACCATCATGTGCCAGATGCACCCCACATGCGTGCACCCCATGTCGCCCATGCCCACCATGCTCCCCATGCCTCCCATGCACAGCAAAACAATTGCCCAAAATCGAGAGGGAGAGAAAGAGTCAGTGGAAAAGGAAGGGAGAGAAAGAGAGAGAGAGAAAACAGCTGTGCGGGGGAGAGGAACGGATGGTAGAGAAGAGAGATCGGAATTTACACAACAGGTTCTGCAGCATACTTCTAGGATGAACTTTTGAGGCGCCTCAAAAGGAATTTACACCACAGGCTCTGCAGCATACTCTTCAGGATAAACAGAGAGCATACTACCTGAAGCAGCACTGCGCCTGCCACAGCACGGAGAACAGCGGAACAACTATGTGTACAGCGCCACAGCAGCACAACACAGCACAACACAGCACAACACAGCACAACACAGCACAACACAGCACAACACAGCACAACACAGCACAACACAGCACAGCACAGCACAGCACAGCACAACACAGCACAACACAGCACTAAGGAGTGCTCACCGCTTGCCATAGTCACCATCGTCGTCGTCTGTGCGGGCCTTCTTGGCTGGCCTGTTGGGCGGTGCAACAAGCAAGGCAGGATTCGGAAGCGGGAGGTTAGGTGGCGACAGTCACACGGGCAAAGGACACAATTTGCAGGGTTGATGACAGACGTTAGAGTTTGTGAGCGGGTGGGAGAGGAAGATGGTGAGAAGTGCAAGGGAGAGAAGGACTAGACTAGACTACCAGTGGAGACGCTGAGAGAACAACAAGGCTGCGGATAGTTCATGTTGAGAAGGAAAACGAGAGGGACGGACGCATGTGCGACCAACTGGTGTTACTCGGAGGGAACATAACCTGCCAGCTCCCCCCCTCACATGCCAGCACCGCTTTTCACCTGCCTGCACCGCTCGCTCCTCACCTGCCAGCACCGCTCCTCACCTGTCAGCATCTGCACCAGGAGATCCCCCCTCCCGTGCACCTCCATTCGCCTTGTCTTCCGCCTCCTCCCTCCTACCCTTCTCTTGCTGCTGCTCGCTCTCCTTCTCCTGCTCACCCTTTCCCTCCCCATCCCCACTGCCGCCTCTTCCCTCCGAACCTTCCTTCTCCCTCCTCCTCTCCTTCTCCCTCTCCCTCTCTTTCTCCTCTGCATCATCATCCTCGTTATCAGAATCATCTTCTCTCCTTCTGCGCCTGCCCCTCCGTCCCCCGTCCTCATCCTCCCTCTCTCTCTCCCTCTCCTTCTCCCTCTCCTTCTCCCTCTCCTTCTCCATCTCCTCCCTCTCCTTCTCCCTATCGCCGTCCCTGTCCCTGCCCCGCTCCCTATCTCTATCCCTGCTCCTCTCCCTCTCCCTCTCCCTGCCCCCATCACGGTCCCGATCCCTCCCCCTCTCCCTCTCCCTCTCACCACCCCTATCCCTATCCCCCTCCCAATCCCGCTCCCTCTCCCGCTCCCTCTCCCGGTCATACTCATGCCCTCGATACTCCCCTCCTCCCCTATACTCCCCCCCTCCCCGATAATCCCCCCCTCCCCGATACTCCCCCCCTCCCCGATAATCCCGCCCCCTATAATCACCCCCACGGTACCCCCCAACGTCGAATCCGCCCCCTCTATAACCACTGCGACGGTAGTCCCCTCCCCCACCGCCACCACGGTAATCCATGCCTCCTCCCCCGCCCCGGTAGTCCATAGGAGGACCGCGGGTGTCGTGGTACGGGCGGGGCGGGTAGGGACGGTCGTCATATCTGGGGAGTGGAGGGAGGGAGGGAGGGAGGGAGGGAGGGAGGGAGGGAGGGAGGGAGGGAGGGAGGGAGGGAGGGAGGGAGGGAGGGAGGGAGGGAGGGAGGGAGGGAGGGAGGGAGGGAGGGAGGGAGGAGGGAGGGAGGGAGGGAGGGAGGGAGGGAGGGAGGGAGGGAGGGAGGGAGGGAGGGAGGGAGGGAGGGGGGGGGGAGGGAGGGAGGGGGGGAGGGAGGGAGGGAGGGAGGGAGGGAGGGAGGGAGGGAGGGAGGGAGGGAGGGAGGGAGGGAGGGAGGGAGGGAGGGAGGGAGGGAGGGAGGGAGGGAGGGAGGGAGGGAGGATGGAAAGGAGGGAGGGAGGATGGAAAGGAAGGAGGGAGGGAGGGAGGGAGGGAGGGAGGGAGGGAGGGAGGGAGGGAGGGAGGGAGGGAGGGAGGGAGGGAGGGAGGGAGGGAGGGAGGGAGGATAGAAAGGAGGGAGGGAGGGAGGATGGAAAGGAGGGAGGGAGGGAGGGAGGGAGGGAGGGAGGGAGGGAGGGAGGGAGGGAGGGAGGGAGGGAGGGAGGGAGGGAGGATGGAAAGGAGGGAGGGAGGATGGAAAGGAAGGAGGGAGGGAGGGAGGGAGGGAGGGAGGGAGGGAGGGAGGGAGGAGGGAGGGAGGGAGGGAGGGAGGGAGGGAGGGAGGATGGAAAGGAGGGAGGGAGGGAGGGAGGGAGGGAGGGAGGGAGGGAGGGAGGGAGGGAGGGAGGATGGAAAGGAGGGAGGGAGGGAGGATGGAAAGGAGGGAGGGAGGGAGGGAGGGAGGGAGGGAGGGAGGGAGGGAGGGAGGGAGGGAGGGAGGGAGGGAGGGAGGGAGGGAGGGAGGGAGGGAGGGAGGGAGGGGAGGGAGGGAGGGAGGGAGGGGAGGGAGGGAGGGAGGGAGGGGACGGGGGAGGGAGGGAGGGAGGACGCCGGGGGGGGGGGGGGGGGGGGGAAGGGACGGAGGGAGCATGGGAGGAAGAAGAAGATGATGAAAGGAACATTTGTTAGGACATTCAAGACAAGTTTCGCAGCAGTTACGTTATGGGCGGGAGAGATGGGAAGGGGAAAACGGCAGTAGGGGAGGAACGCGCAGGAAAAAGGATTTGCATGGTCGTTGCGCCGAGCGGGGAAAAGATGGATGACGGGAGCAGGAGCGGGTAGAGGGGGGAGTGTGCGGTGAGGTGCGAGGGGCAGTGGCGGAATTAAGGGAAGTAGGCGGGCACAGCGGAGTGAGGGGGGGTCGTGTTTTGAGTCGAATCAAGACACGAATCGAGGGAAGTAGTGAGGGGTCAGGGGGGATAAGGGGGATGGGGGATGGAGGGATGAGGGATGGAGGTTGGGGGGCGGGGGATGTGGGAAGATCGAGACGCAAAGCAGATGCGGAAACGTAAAGAGAGAATGAAGGGGGCGTTCGGCCCAGGCAGAACCCAGGGGGAGCGCAGGCGGAACACAGGTGGAACCCAGGCGGGACCCAAGCGGCACCCAGGCGGGACCCAGGCGGAACCTAGGCGGAACCCAGGCGGAACCCAGGCGGAACCCAGGCGGAGCTAGGGGGAACATATGCAGCTAGGGGGCACATACCCTCGCCTGGCATAAGGCGGCGGACCAGGAGGGGGCGGATTGCCATGTCCTTGATGAGCCCTTTCTCACTGCCAAACCACGGGGAGGAAAGGGGGAAGGGGTCGGAGGGGTTGCGAGGGGGGGAAGGGGAGGGGGAGGGGGTTTGGGAGGGGGAGGGGGAGGGGGAGCGGGAGGGGGAGGGGGAGGGGGAGGGGGAGGGGGAGGGGGAGGGGGAGGGGAGGGAAACAAGGGAGAAAGCGAGAGATGGGAGGAGCGATTTGGGCAAGGAATGAGAACGAGGGGAAGGGGTGAGAGAAAAGGTGGGGGAGGGAGGAATAAATAGTAGGACGAAGGCGTGTGCGCACGGGGGGGAATAAAAACGTCCAGTTTCAATTCAAGGCGACTCAAATTTCAGCAGCGCGTGTGAACGAATAAGTGAAACCATCACGCTCTGGACTCTCTAAGACGCCATTAGAGCTTGATATTGGAGCCGTTGGGGCGGGAGAGGGGGAAAGGGGGAGGGGGAAAGGGGGAGGGGAGAGGGGGGGAGGGAGAAAGGGGGGAAGGCCGAAGGGTAGCGGAGGACGGGTGCGGAAGGGACGGTGGTGCGAAGTAGGTTGAGGAATTCGCAAGAGAGAGGCTTCAGTCGAGCGAGGGATGGTGGGTGGCTCACATGATCTCCTCGTTGCGGCCGTACTTCGCGAATTTTACCATGACCTCCCTGCCGTCCACCCAACCCTAGTCCCAGCCAACCCCCCAGCCCCAGCACCACCCCCACCCCCACCCCCCCACCCCCACCCCCACCCCCACCGCCACCCCCACAGCCACCCCCACCCCCACCCCCAGCCGACAGTGCAAGAGTGGTGGCTCACATGATCTCCTCGTTGCGGCCGTACTTGGCGAATTTTACCATGATCTCCCTGCCGTCCACCGTGCGACCTGCAGGGAGAGCAGCAGGGGGAGAAGCAACGGGAGAGAGAGAGAGAACAAAAGCGTTCGAAATGCTGCAGACAACTGGAAAGCACGAAAAGTGGCTACAGGGGAACAGATCGCATGCCCAAAAAAACAGCATACAGCGCACAGGACACAGGGGACAGGGCAAAGGGCACAGGGCACAGCGCGCACAGCACAGCGCGCACAGCACCGCGCGCAGAGCACCGCGCGCAGAGCACCGCGCGCAGAGCACCGCGGCCGATATGGCGCAGTCCGACACAGAGCAGACCACAGACGCCATGCCATGCCATCAATGAAACTCTCTCCCGACAGCATCTTAAAGCACAGCCACTCCTACAACACGCTTTTTAAAAAACGCCAAATGTCTTAGCGCGCCATAAGAGCGTTGCAGGACCGTCCTAGGAGCGATTTGAACCGCCACGCACCGTCGAGCTTCTCGACGGCTCTGGCGGCGTCGTCCTCGCGCTTAAAGCGCACGAAGGCGAACCCGCGCGACGTGCCGGTCCTGGCGCGCGGGGTGAGGGGGAGAGGTGAGGAGACAAGAGGAAAGCAGACGAGACAAAAGACATGAGAGAAAAAAAAAACAACAAAGGATGACGGGTAGCAGAGGCTTCTCGACGGCTCTGGCGGCGTCGTCCTCGCGCTTGAAGCGCACGAAGGCGAACCCGCGCGACGTGCCGGTCCTGGCGCACGGGGTGAGGGGGAGAGGTGAGGAGAGAAGAGGAAAGCAGACGAGACAAGAGAGAGAATAAAATGGAAAGACGAAAGAAGGGGGAAAAAAAAGGGGGTTTATAAGGCTCCTGGACGGCCCTAGCGGCGTCGTCCTCGCGCTTGAAGCGCACGAATGCGAACCCGCGCGACGTGCCGGTCCTGGTGCGCGAAGGGAGGTGAGAAGGAAGGCGGGAAAGGAGGCGGGAAGGGAGACGACAAGAGGAGAGCGGATGAAACAAGGGACTTGAGAACGGAAAGAACCATAAAGGGTACGCGACTGCCCTTCAAACTGTAACAGAACGAGGTGAGAAAAGCCTACGAATAAGCAGTGTCTAATTGAGATGGTGCCTAAACGCGCGATCTAGTAAAAAAGAGCGCCGTAGATCTCCACGAGTGCTACTGGCGACTCGAATTAAATCGTCATCACGATCGCGAGAAGGAACAAGGACGTGAGAACAAGTAAAAAGGGGCACGGAAGGCGAAGGGGGAAGCGGAGGGGGTTGCGGAGGAGGAGGCGGAGGGGGAGGCGGAGAGGGAGGCGGAGGGGAAGGTGGACGGTGAGCGAGAGGAGGAGGGGGAGGAAAAGAAGGCGTTAAAGGAAGAGAAGCGGGAAGGGAAGGTGGGAAAGAAAGGGACGGTTACCTCTTGTCCCGAGGAATAAAGACATCGACCACCTCGCCGTAGCGCGAGAACATGGGCAAGAGCTCATCGCTGGTTGTGCCTGGAGTAGAGAGAGAAGGTCGAGGGCGAGAGCGGAGGAGAAGGAGGGGGACGGCGAGAGGAACGGGGAGTGAGGGAGGGAGGAGTGGGGAAGGGAGGAGCGGGGAAGGGAGTGGGGGGGAAAGACAGATGCAACAGCGGCTGGAAGACATGGATCCGAAACAGCGGGTTGCTGAAAAAGACGCTTGAATCGTTGAAAAGAGAACTGTGGTTAGAAGCCGCCAATCAGCGGTGCAGCGACGGTCGGATAGGGTAAAAAACGCGGTGTATTTCGCAAGGGCGCGGTGTCTCAGCTGAGGCAAGTAAGCGGCAAAGTCTTACGGAAGGTGATGTTGAGCACAAGCAACGAGTAGGTGTCGCGAATATCGGGAGGCGGCCGTCGCATCATCGTGGTGAACAACGCGAAAAGATGCGAGAGGGATTACGAAGCGACTACTAGACAGGAGCACGGATCGCAGGAACAACGCCGGTGGGTATTGCACTAATCGCTGATACTAATTGCTGTGCAGCGAGCAACCGAGCGATACCAAACAGCCGCGTGATGTGATAGCAAGGCGGAACCCATCAGATCTGGCCAGAAAATCAGCAGACATCGCAGGGAAAAGCTCCACTTCACCTAACCCTAGCTTGTGAGCCCCTCAGCTGCCCTCCGCAGCCGATTCAAGATTCTTGGGATTTGATGATAAAGTGGAAACTATACCGGTTCTGAGCGGTGAAATGAAATGTGGCTCCTATGTTGTTCCTCGAAACAGGTAAGTACCGAGAAATTACTTTTGAAAGTATACTTACAGAAGTGTGACTTCCTTTGGGCTCTTCCTGTACCCACCACAGAAGTGTGACACTGGTCATGTTATACCAATGCCGAGCCTTTAAGATGCCGTTAGAGCACACAAAGTCTGCGCCACGACAAAATTCTCTCAAACAACGGCACTTCATTGTTTTATACAGTACTTGTATCATACTCAGTTCCCTTCCACCCTTCATGACGGTCCTACTAGCATCTTGTCACCGCTTTATGGAGCTTTTCAGTCACGTTCCTTTCAACTTGCTGTAGCGCATCAGCCTCACTCCCTCCTCTCACCTTCCCCTTCCCCGTCCACCTATACCTCCTCCAAAACACAGGTGCAGTGAGCAGCAATGGCAAGGGAGACGTGCTGCTGCAGCTGCCGCACAAAGTCAGACGACATGTGCAGAGGAGTGAAGGCTCTTGGTGGGTCAGATGGTCGTGTTGACTCCGCAGCATTTTGTGAAGGGGTTGCTTCTACTGCTGAGTCCTCTTGCTGCTGATGGTGCTGTGAAGGAGGAACGAAGGGGGGGAAAGCGTATGGGATGTGATGGAAAATGAATGGCAACTGTGGCATTTCAACCCCAACCACATGCTACATGACCTATAGAGCGTGCATAATACACAATGTTCTATGCACAATGCCCCATGTACCATGCACCGTGCACCACACACCATGCAACATGCCCCATGCCCCATGCCCCACACCCCTTGCATCATACAGTTAACACGCCTTGCCGAATACCCCATGCCATGCCCCATGCCTTATGCCACATTCTTGATCCATGTCCCCTGCCCCATGCCCCACGCCCCATGCTCCATGCCCCACGCCCCTTCGCCTTGCACGTGCCTGGGGGGAGGGCAGGAGAATTGTATCGAGGGGCAGCAGCAGGCGGGAGGTGCTGCTGATGAACGCGCCCTGCCACGTGTGCGCTTCGGCTATCTGTGGTGCCCGCAGTTGCACCGGTACACCTGAGAGGGGGGAGGAGGTTGCAGAGAGGGGAGACTTCTTTTGAAGTGCAGCTGACAAACGCGCCCTGCCACGTGTGCGCATCACCCATCCGCGGTGCTCTCAGCTGCACCGGCACCCCTGGGAGGAGGGGAGGGGAGAACGTGGTGCAGAAATGAAAGGGGGAACGGGATGCAAGGTGAGTGGGATGGGGAGATGCAAGGGGTGAGACAGAGAGTCGAGGGAAGGAGGAGGGAGAGAAGGGTGGAGATTCACTGTTGGAAAGGTATGTAACGCTGCTAGTGCCTGCGCTGCCCATGCTTTCTATATGCCCAATCTTGCTATTGCCCAATGCTATCGCCTGATCTTGCGTGCAAGTGCCTAACCTTGCTGTTGGCACACGGAGAGGATGAGGGAGCTTTTGAGTCGACTCAAAAGTCATCTTGCGTGCAAGTGTCTCACCTTGCTGTTGGCAGACGGAGAGGATGAGGGAGCGGATGGTGCCTTTTAGCACGCCTTCCTCTGCTGTCACCACCACGCCTCCTGCCTCCACCTGTATGCGTGCCAGATGCCAGCAAACACACAAGGAGCATCACGCACAGTCAAACACACGGGCAATATGATTGGTGCAAGAGGAGGGGAGCATGGAAGGAGCAGCGGAGGAGCAGCAGAACGAGGGAGCGAATGGTGCCTTTGAGCACGCCCTTCTCCGCTGTCCGTTCGTAAGGGGGAGTTGGTGTGCTTCTCAGCACTCACAGCAAAGAAGTTGCTGGTGCCGCCTTCCAGAACACTGCCATCACTGTCCACCAGCAGAACCTCCTCTGCGCCCTGCTGCTTCTTCACCTCCTCCAGTGCTGCCCTCTCCCTGGTAAGCCGTGCCGCATCATGCCACACCACACCACACCACACCACACCACACCACACCACAGCATGCAGCAGAACCACCATGAACGGAGAAGAAGGGGCTGGTGATGGCAGTCTGGGGAGTGTGGATCTGAGGACCACTTGCTGCATATGATGCGGTGAGGTGGACACGCTATGCATCCATTCATGACACCCGAGTTACGGGCACACGACCAGCACTGCACGAAACACCAAAAAGAGAGACTCTCACCAAACAGGTCCAGTGTTTTGAGACGTCTCAAAAAAAAAACATTACGCACGTGACTCTCACCAAACAGGTCCAGTGTGGGCGCAAGGAGAAGGGGAGGAAAGAGACAGATTCCCACGTAAAAGCCGTCTGCGCCCACTTACTCGCTCGCTCGCTCAATCACTCACTCAAACCATCCCTCACTCACCCACTCACGCACTTACCGCACCCATGCGGAGTCCTTGGCTGCTGCATTCTTGCGCGGCCGCCCCGCTACCACCACCCGCACAGGGGGCGACGGGGGAGGGGGAAGCGGTGCCGCGTGCACAAACAGGTCGTAGGGCTGGGGGAAAGGGAAAGAGAAGGGGGGGGGGAGGGGAATGCGTAGATACCATTTGAGTCGACTACAAAATCATCACGTGCATGCACAAATAGGTCGTAGGGTTGGGGGGAGGAAAAAATGCGAGGGCGCATGGGGGGAGGGGCGAGGGAAGAGGGGGAGAGGGGGACATGGGTTCTTTGGTTTGGACGGTTTAGCGGGACGGGAAGAGGCGTCATGTGCTCAAAGAGATCGTAAGGATGAGGGGGAGGGCGGCATAGGGGACGCGGGGAGGGGGACGTGGGGGAAGGGTGGCATGGGATGGGGGACATGGGAGGGCGTGGGGAGGGGGACATGAGGAAGGACGTGGTGCGAGCTGCGAAGAGATGGGTGTCAAGAGAAGTGATAGGGAGGAGATGAAAAGCGGTTCATTGTTAGGTGTTGCAGGCGGCATTTCAGCACAGCCTAATGATTACTGGGAATGTAAATGAGGGATGTGACGGATGGATGGAAAGGAGAAGGCGAGACGGTGGAAAAAAGGTTGATACTTGGAGAGCGGGTGGGATGACGAGGAGAGGGGAGGGATGAGTACGAGAGCGAAATTGGGGTGGGAGATGCGGCGGTGGGAAGGGAGGAGGAGAAGAGGTGACGAAAGGAAAGAGAGAGAGAATGGAGGGGAAGGTCTGAACGGAAGATGAAGTTGCATATTAGGTAGGCTCTGTACCTAAGAGACACATAAATATGTCTGGAATACACTTTAATAATCCGTTCGGGGTGCATGTGTGGTGCAAGGGTGCATGGACCCATGGGCTTGGCCGAGAAACAAACTCTCATGCACACACACATGCAGTAGCAGCAGCAGCAGCAGGCGCACCTGGGTAGAGGAGGGCGAGGATGGCGGTGCCAGCAGCGCTGTGAGCCGCACTTCCATGGGGGCACGCGACGAGGAGGAGGGGGAGGGGGGGGGGGTGAAGCAGCAGAGGCGGATGGAGACACAGAGGCAGAAGCTAAGGCGGAAGCAGTGGCTTTACTGGCAGTTGCAGTTGAAGTGCTGGTGGTGGTGGTGGCATGTGGGAGGGTGGTATTATTGCAATGGAGGAACTCCGTTATTGCCAGTGCAAAGGCGGACTTTATCACTGGGCGGAGGCTCTGGGAAGGAAGGGGAGAGAACGGGGGGGAGTGGAGTGGAGTTTTTAGTTGACACAAAAGGAGGGTGGCATTATTGCAATGGAGGAACTCCGTTATTGCCTGTGCAAAGGCAGACTTCATCACTGGGCGGAGACTCTGGGAAGGAGTCGGGGGGGGAGCGCATGGGGGGAGAGGGGCGTGGAGTGGAGGGGAGTAAACCGAGTGTGATTGATGTGTGCTGAGATGTTAGCGGGTGAATGTGAATGCGTGAGGAGAAATAGTTCCGAAGGAAACAGATGGGAGGAATCCTGAATGGTGAATGTGAGGAGTAGTAGCAGTCGGAGGGAGGAAAAGAACGGGGCGCAGGTTTGGGGAGAAGGGAGACAACGGATGAGATTTGGAGGCAAGGTTAAAAAAAGACTCACTTCAAACGTCAGTTGTGACTCAGCAGCAGCGGCAGCAGAAGCAGAAGCAGAAGCAGTGTGCATCGGAGGTGCAGGGGCGTCAGGGGAATCCCTACAGCTATCCCTCCCCTTCTCCTGATCCCCACTGCTCTCCCCTGTCGCACCACCAGGCACCACTGCCAGTCCCATCAGACCCGCCGACTCCACTGCTCAAACCAGACAATCAAATTCATGGGAAAAGCAGGGTGGGGGTTTTCAAGTCGACTCAAAAGGCACCACTGCAAGAACCATCAGACCCGCCGACTCCACTGCTCACCAGGAAGGTCAGATTCGTGGGAAAGGTAGGGTAGGAGCCGTGTTCCAGACTAGAGGCTGTGCATGATAGTGGGAAGCAGGACATGTGGAAATGGGCGATGGCAAGAAGGGATCAAAAGCGGAGGAGCTGAGGAAAGGATGCTGGCGGATGTAACCCCTCACAATATTTTCAAGGCACCTAAAATATCACCCAGTCGCTGCACTCACCCAGTCGCTGCACTCACCCAGTCGTTGCACGTGCATATCAAATTCGAGCACGGAGTGAACGCCCACTGTGCGCGCCGTGGTGTATGCACCTGCCGTACCACGGGGAGAGGACACTCTGAGTGAGTGCGTGCGTGCGTGCGTGCGTGCGTGCGTGCGTGCGTGCGTGCGTGCGTGCGTGCGTGCGTGCGTGCGTGCGTGCGTGTGGGTGAGTGAGTGAGCGGGTGGTTTAAACAGGGTAAGGGAGTGAGCTGCAAGCTCACAAACTCAAGTGCAACTTGAAGCTTGAAGCACACTAACGTGATAAAACCATTGTTGTTGTGCATCATGACATGCAATCAAACAGCTGCTAGCTTAATTTGGTATTCAAATGCACTCAGTTGGTATTGGTCATGTCAACCTCACCTCGCGGGTAAGAACGCAGCAAATCAGCGGCCGACATCTGGCACACCTTCGCCACCCCATTTTGAACCAAAACCGACTGGGGCGCCGCCAATTCCGCCGCTCCTGGCGCCGACGGCGCCGCTCCCTGCACTGCCGAAGCTACCTCGCGCACTGATGGCGAATCAGCTGACGCCGCGTCAGCCATGTTTAAGCGCGCCGATACAGATGTGCGATTGCGGTTCGCCGCGTTGCCCGCCGCGAAAAGCGGAGCGTGGTGACCGGCGGAAGACGTATGGGACGGGAACCTTGGCGGAAACGAAGGCCTCGTTGGGTTTGCGCAGAGGTTCCGCCACCCGCGCGCGGATTGGCGAGTATGGGGAACGAATTTGCGCAGCTGCGGAGGAATGAGGACAAGTGGACGCGGAGAGCAATGGTGCAAGATAGCGACGTGTCGGAGTATCATTGGTCGGCTGCGATACCTCACGGCCCGGATGGGCCGCAGGGTTGGGAAGAATGGAGATAGAACCGGAAGCTGCTGACCGTACGATGTATCGCGTGCGATGCGGTTGGGGACACGCAGAGAGGGTGGTGAGGAGATAAGATTGGAACGGGATGCGCAGAGGTGTTTCAAGGTGATCTATCAGCCGCATGCATTCGTGCGTGAAGGAATGAATATCCAATTCGAATCAAGTCGCGACACAAGCAATGGACGCTGAATCCAACAAATCTTGGAGAGGCAAGTACAAGAGGGGATCCTAGCTTCTTGAAAGTGTCAGAAATCGCGAGGGATGGCTTATGGCAGGCATTCCTTGAATGGGGGAGTCGATTCCTTGGCACGGCGAAGAGGGGGTGGGGAGGGGGAGGGAGGCGCGTGATGCAGAGAGGTGAGGTCAGTGTGACGTGGCACCGCTTTGAGCAGACACGACAGAAACTGGAATGGAAAGTGTTCCGTCCTTGTTTCAAGAATTTCGTACGGATGGATAAATAGGCTTGTTGCAAGCTGATACTGTTTATATGAAACAAGGCCGATCTATCTGCATGGCTTTTGAATGTGGGTGTCTTTGAGGAGCACACAACACGAAAAAAAAGTGGGTACACACTCCCGCAGTGAGCTTTCATCTAATATTCTTCATATTCGTTGCATGTTTAAACTGCATGGCATATTAAACATGTCCCTACATTGTGTTATCATGTCATTCAAGGCAATTAAATTTCTTTTTCTGATCATTAAGATTTTAAACTACATGCTTTTGGTGAAAGCTAACTACAAATCCTCCCTGCATCCACAGGTGACTTTCTTGTCTTTGCTTGTCTTATATAAATGAACAGAACGATAGTACATTGAAACGAAGAATCGCATGCTGCTTACAACAAGCCAGCCCTCGCCACCACCGCCATATCTCCTCGAACCCCCGCAGCCTCAACCCCCCACATTCCATCCCCATCCACGCCCCAACCCTTGCTGCAATGGCGGCGGCCCGCGTGCCTCGCCGTGCGAGGATCGTGTCAGCCCCGGCGTCAGCGATCGCGCTGTCGCAGCGGATCGTAGGCTCGTCGCTCTCGTCGCACATCGCACGATCTGCCTTCCAGTCTCCCGTTCTTCCATCCCACCATCCCTCCGCCGCCGCCGCCGCCACCGCCGCCGCCGCTTCCGCTACACCTGGTTTCAGTAGCGGAACCGTCACTGATTCCGCAGCTGATAGGGACGCCACAGACGCGACTGTAGCTTGTATCGAGGCTTCCCGTAAAGGGGTTGTGGCAGGGAGATTCAGCCAGCCCCGCTTTTCCCTCCTCGTTCCTGCTGCGTCGATCACCCTCACCCACGTACGCGCGCTTCTTCCCCCCTGCGCTTTTCCTTCCTGTCTCGTCCCCCCGGTTACTCCCTTCCAAGAACAGCTTCTCAACAGTCTAAAAATAAAGACAAAAAGCGCTTTTCCGTTGCGAGGTCATCTTGTCGCTCGCTTCGTTTCGTCGGCCAGTCCAACGGCGTTCTGTCGGATGCTCGTCCGCCAAGACAAAGCCCCTTGTCCCATAGAGGCCGATCCTCTTTCTGCGTTTCGAGACGTCTTAGAACCTAAAAATTTTCGAAACCTCTCTATGCTGGTGATGATGCGCACGCGGATCCAATTCCCGCGCCAGAAGGTCAAAGCGCGCTTGATTCGCTGCACCCTTCGCACTCTCTTCCCCTTCCCCGGTCCCTCCCTCTGTCACCTGTCCCCCGAACCTCGTCCCCCATCCCCCGTCCCCCATCCCTTGTCCCCCATCCCCCGTCCCCCATCCCCCTTCCCCAGCCCCCTTCCCCCATCGCGCTTTCCCGATCAGCCGTCCCTTTCTTTCCTCCCTGCGCGCCTCCTCGTCCGCGCCCCTCTGCCGCCCATCCGTGTCCCCTTGTTCTTATCACCATCCATGGCCGCCCCTCCACCACCCTCTCCCTGCCCATCCACGTTTTGCGGTTCCTTCAAAAAATCCCTCTCGTCCCCATTTCGCCTCCTGCCCACGTCCCCGTCCCCGCCCCTCCTCTCATCCGGTTCCCCTCCTTGTTCTTATCACCAGCCATTGCCGTCTCCATATTTCCTCCCTTTTCGCGGCGTTCCCATCCCCGCCCTCTGCCCATCCGGTGTTCCTCCGTCTCTTATCACCAGCCGTGGCCCCCTTTGCACACGAATGAACCTCCCTCTCTGACGTCGTGAGGCGCATAAATAAATCATTTCCCATCCCCGCCCTCCTGCCCATCCGGTGCCCCCCTCGTTCTCTTACCACCAGCCATGGCCGCCCGTGCACCATCCTCTCTCTGCCGCGCCCATCCCCGCGCTCGTCCGCTTCCTTTCGTCCTCCGCGCTAGCGCCGCAGCAGCTCCACTCCACCGTCCTTTCCCGCAGCGCGGGCGCGGACAGCAGCAGCAGCAGCAGCAGCAGCAGCGGCAGCGGCGGAGGCAACATTGAGGCTCTGCCGCCCTCTGTACCCCGTGCCGTTCCTGGTGGGCCTACCTCCTCCACAACTTTTTTCCCAGACACGTGACTGGCACGTCCATCTTGCCATTGACATAGTCTACACGCGACATCGCCTTCTCTTTCACCCTCTTCCACCCTCTTTCACCCACTTCCACCCTCTTTCACCCACTTCCACCCTCTTTCACCCACTTCCACCCTCTTTCACCCACTTCCACCCTCTTTCACCCACTTCCACCCTCTTTCACCCACTTCCACCCTCTTTCACCCACTTCCACCCTCTTCCACCCTCTTCCACTCTCTTCCACCCTCTTCCACCCTCTTCCTCCCTCCCTGTATCGGCCTCGCTTCCCTCTTCTTCTCTTCTTTTCCCATCGTGTTCTTCTTTACCCTTCGTGCCTCACCCTCACCCTACTCTCTCCCCTCCCTTATCCCCTCACCACCCAGACCCTGGAGAGTCCCTATCAGCGCGTGTGGAGCTAGCAGGCAGCGAGGTGGTGTTTGAGACGGGGCGGCTGGCGCGCCTGGCGTCAGGAGCAGTGGTGGTGGGTGTGGGTGACACCAAGGTGCTCGTCACCGCTGTCTCATCGCACGATCGGGACACCTCCCGGGACTTTCTCCCTCTCATGGTGGGTGTGTGTGTTTACGCCTGCCTGCCTGCCGGTTTTGGGGTTCACTCAATAAGCGCCTGGCCGGCGTCAGGGGCAGTGGTGGTGGGTGTGGGCGACACCAAGGTGCTTGTTACAGCTGTCGTTTCCCATGACAGGGACACCTCTTGGGACTTTCTCCCTCTCATGGTAGGTGGGTGGGCTTGTCAATCTGTCTGTCTGCCTGCCTGCCTTCCTGCATACCTGTATGCGTGCGCGCCTGCCTGTCTTGTTTGTCTGTTTTAAATGCAAGGGAACGAGGCAGCAGCATCCATTGCCCGTCGATTTGAACCCATGACCGAAGCAACCCATCCCCTTTCCTCCCCTGTATGTGTTGCGCGCGCGTGTCTGTGTGTGCAAACGTGCGCGTGCGTGCTTGTGTGGTTTCCCCACCATCGGCAGGTGGACTACAGGGAGAGGCAGTACGTGATGGGGCGCATACCCAACACATACATGCGGCGGGAAGGCACACCCAAGGAGAGGGAGATAAACAACTCACTCCCTGTTGGTCGAAAACCTTTTCCAAAACAACATACCCCTTCCATTCCCATGCTTTTCCTCCCATGTGTGTGTGTCTGCGTGTGGGTGCACATGCATGCTCGCATGCGTGCTTGTGTGGTCTCCCATCTCCCAACGGCAGGTGGACTACAGGGAGAGGCAGTACGTGATGGGGCGCATACCCAACACGTACATGCGGCGGGAGGGCGCGCCCAAGGAGAGGGAGATCCTCTGTGCGCGCATCATCGACCGCTCCATCCGCCCGCTCTTCCCCAAAGGCTTCTTCTATGATACCCAGGTGGTTTGGTAGGCCCTTGGTTGGCTTGTTTGTTTAGGAGCTCTTCTTCAAAGACTTTTTCTACGATACCCAGGTCAACAAGGCTTTGTGCATGGTACGTAGGTGGGGTAGGCTAGCACTGGGCTTTTTAGTCATGTCACAGTCTGGTCATCTGTGCGCACATTATTGGGCGCTCCATCTGCCCACTCTTCCTCAAAGGCTTCTTCTACAATACCCAGGTGAGTACGCCATCCCGTAGGTAGGTTTCCTTAGGTACATAATCTTTCAACACACTGTGAAGGTCAAGAACCGATAGCCTTTATAGGAAGCTGTATTCTCATCCCTTTGCAGATACTGAGGGATAACGGTTTTTTGGATCTCATTGAAGAAGGATCCAATGTGAAGACATCGACAGGTACGATCAAGTTGGGATTGGACCAACAAAAATCTATGTTGCAAATAACCCAAGTTGATGGTAACACCTGTCGAAGTCTTCACATTGGATCCTTCTTCAATGAGATCTGAAAGACAGTTATCCCTCAGTGTCTGCAAAAGAATGAGAATACGGGTTTGGCCGGCAAAAAGTGAACAGAGGAGCAAGAAGACCTCACTGAAACTCTCTCCCATATGAGCGAATGGTTCCTAATTCACTGCTGTTGCTGATTCTTCTGCTTAAGCCTAGTACACGACTGCAGTTTTCTAAGAAATGACTGAATATCGCGGTGGGAAGGCACACCAAGGCGATGGAGATCCAAAGCCTTCCCCACCCACCACTCATCCACCCATCTGGAGATCACGGCGTCTGTGCTGAGCAGCGACCAGGAGCAGGACCCGGACGTGCTGACAGTGACCTGATTTGCTCTCCTGCTTTCAAAGAACACAGGCCTGTCCCTCCCCTCCTCGTACCCCATCCCTTCCACGTGCAGATCACTGCGTCTGTGCTGAGCAGCGACAGGAGCAGGACCCAGACGTGCTGGCATGGCAGGTGACCGGTTCTCTAAACACACCACTCCACACTCTCACCCCACTCCCACACCCCACTCGCCTGCAGATCACGGCGTCTGTGCTGAGCAGCGACCAGGAGCAGGACCCGGACGTGCTGGCGGTGAATGCGGCGTCGGCAGCGCTGTGCATCTCAGACATCCCCTGGAACGGCCCCATTGGCTGCGTGCGTGTGGGGCGCATTGACGGGCAGTTCGTTGTCAACCCCTCCATGACCCAGGTGCGTGTGCGGGGAGGAAATGGGTGGGGGGGGGGCGGGGGGAGGGGTTTGTGTGTGTTGTGTGTGTGAGTGTATGTTTACTAGATGCAGCTGTGTGCGTGTGGGGCGCATTGACGGGCAGTTCGTTTTCAACCCCTCCGTGACCCAGGTGCGTGTGCGGGGAGAAAAATGGGTGGAGGAGGGGGGGGAGGGGGGGGGGAGGGGTTTGTGTGTGTCTATTGGTGGGTGTGTGTTTGGCTTGACGCAAGTGTTACGTGTGAGTGATTGATGGACTTGGTACAATCAATTGGGGCTTGATCAGGTGCGTTGCGGTTCGATTGGATGGTGGTTCGGTTCAGTTCGATTCAACACCCACTGTTGTTTTGTTTCGTGCTTGCTGACTTGACATGCACACATGTTCCGTCATCCGCCCTTTCTTCTCCTTGTGACCACTCCGTCTCGTCCACCCCACGCCCACCCCACCTTTCCCCGTCACACCATCCACGTTCCCACTCTCACCCCTCGTCCTTCCTCTTCCCCCCCACCAGCTTGCGGGCAGCGACCTGTCACTGGTCTACGCATGCACACAAGACCACGCAGTGATGATGGAGGTGCAGGCGCGCGAGATAAGCAACGAGGACATGGCAGCAGCGCTGCACCTTGCGCACGCAGAGGCCGCCAAGCTCATTCCCCCGCAGCTGGAGCTCGCAGAGCAGGCGCGGCAGGAGAAGCGCCAGGCAGTGCCGCTGGTGGTGACACCGGCAGTGATGGAGCGAGTGAGAGGGCTGGCAAAGGACGCTGTCACGGCTGTGCTCACCAATGCACTCTACTCCAAGGTTGGTTTGGTCTTGCTGCTAGTGCTAGTGGGTCGATGGGGGAACCCCCATAAAGCAGGTAGCAGGTAGCGGGTAGCGGGTAGCAGGTAGCGGGTAGCGGGTAGCAGGTAGCGGGTAGCGGGTAGCAGGTAGCGGGTAGCGGGTAGCGGGTAGCGGGTAGCGGTAGCGGGTAGCGGGTAGCGGGTAGCGGGTAGCGGGTAGCGGGTAGCGGGTAGCGGTAGCGTAGCGGGTAGCGGGTAGCGGGTAGCGGGTAGCGGGTAGCGGGTAGGTAGCGGGTAGCGGGTAGCGGGTAGCGGGTAGCGGGTAGCGGGTAGCGGGTAGCGGGTAGCGGGTAGCGGGTAGCGGGTAGCGGGTAGCGGGTAGCGGGTAGCGGGTAGCGGGTAGCGGGTAGCGGGTAGCGGGTAGCGGGTAGCGGGTAGCGGGTAGCGGGTAGCGGGTAGGGGTAGCGGGTAGCGGGTAGCGGGTAGCGGGTAGCGGGTAGCGGGTAGCGGGTAGCGGGGGGGGTGGGGGTGGCGGGTGGCGGGTGGCGGGTGGCGGGTGGCGGGTGGCGGGTGGCGGGTGGCGGGTGGCGGGTGGGGGGTGGGTGGCGGTGGCGGGTGGCGGGTGGCGGGTGGCGGGTGGCGGGTGGCGGGTGGCGGGTGGCGGGTGGCGGGTGGCGGGTGGCGGGTGGCGGGTGGCGGGTAGCGGGTAGGGGTAGCGGGTAGCGGGTAGCGGGTAGCGGGGGTAGCGGGTAGCGGGTAGCGGGTAGCGGGTAGCGGGTAGCGGGTAGCGGGTAGCGGGTAGCGGGTAGCGGGTAGCGGGTAGCGGGTAGCGGGTAGCGGGTAGCGGGTAGCGGGTAGCGGGTAGCGGTAGCGGGTAGCGGGTAGCGGGTAGCGGGTAGCGGGTAGCGGGTAGCGGGTAGCGGGTAGCGGGTAGCGGGTAGCGGGTAGCGGGTAGCGGGTAGCGGGTAGCGGGTAGCGGGTAGCGGGTAGCGGGTAGCGGGTAGCGGGTAGCGGGTAGAGTAGAAGGTACTTAACGTCTTATAGCTCCTTCATACTCTCCCCCCTTCCACCCCGTTTCCCCCTTCCCCCCTGTTCTTTGTGTTGTGCAGCAAGACAGGGGGCGGGCACTGAGCAAGGTGCAGGAGGATGTGGCGGAGGTGCTGGGGGGAGGGGGGAGCTTGGCTGCTGGGGAGGAGGCGGAGGGGGAGAAGCAGGAGGGGGAGGGCGGTGATTCCGCGTTGGCACAGCTGCCAGGCGCCATGGAGAAGCTCAAACGAGAGGTGGGTGGGCGAGAGGGCTCCCAGTAACTTTTGAGTCAACTCAACAAGAGTCAACTAAGGTTGCGCACTGGCGCAGCTGCCAGACGCCATGGAGAAACTCAAGCGAGAGGTGAGCAGGCGAGAAGGCTCTCTCTCAGTGACTTTTGAGGCGCCTAAAAGAAAGGCACCTGAGATTCCGTGTTGGAGAAACTCAAGCGAGAGGTGGGTGGGCAAGAGTGCTCCCAGTAACTTTTGAGTCAACTCAAAAGCAGTCATCTGAGATTCCGCGTTGGCGCAGCTTCCAGGCGCCATGGAGAAACTCAAGCGAGAGGTGGGTGGGCGAGAGCGCTCTCTCTGTCAGTGTGTGGTATGGGAAAAGCTTGCAGGGTGTTTCTGCCGGCGTCAGGATTGTGAATGGTTGAAAGCCATTCTGCCTGTGCTCAGGATTGTGTGCGCTCTTGTCTGTGCTCTGCTCTGCATGGATTGTGTGCATTTGTGTGTGTGAGCAGGTGATTCGCGACGCTGTGCTGGGCAGGGGTTCGAGAGCAGACGAGCGGGGGTTGGAGGAGGTGCGGCAGGTGGCGTGTGAGGCGGGCGTTCTCAACCCGCTGCACGGCTCCTCACTCTTCTCCCGCGGGAACACACAGGTGGGTCTGAAGGTTTGTTTCGTGAGTATGGGTTTCGTACGAGGCAGAAGTATCAACCCGCTGCACGGCTCCTCACGCTTCTCCCGAGGGAACACACAGGTGGGTCTGAAGGTTTGTTCGTGAGTATGGGTTTCGTACGAGGCAGAAGTATCAACCCGCTGCACGGCTCCTCACGCTTCTCCCGAGGGAACACACAGGTGGGTCTGAAGGTTTGTTTCGTGAGTATGGGTTTCGTACGAGGCAGAAGTATCAACCCGCTGCACGGCTCCTCACGCTTCTCCCGAGGGAACACACAGGTGGGTTTGAGGGTTTACTTTGTGAGTATGGGTTTCGTACGAGGCAGAAGTATCAACCCGCTGCACGGCTCCTCACGCTTCTCCCGAGGGAACACACAGGTGGGTCTGAAGGTTTGTTTCGTGAGTATGGGTTTCGTACGAGGCAGAAGTATCAACCCGCTGCACGGCTCCTCACGCTTCTCCCGAGGGAACACACAGGTGGGTTTGAGGGTTTACTTTGTGAGTATGGGTTTCGTACGAGGCAGAAGTATCAACCCGCTGCACGGCTCCTCACGCTTCTCCCGAGGGAACACACAGGTGGGTCTGAAGGTTTGTTCGTGAGTATGGGTTTCGTACGAGGCAGAAGTATCAACCCGCTGCACGGCTCCTCACGCTTCTCCCGAGGGAACACACAGGTGGGTCTGAAGGTTTGTTTCGTGAGTATGGGTTTCGTACGAGGCAGAAGTATCAACCCGCTGCACGGCTCCTCACGCTTCTCCCGAGGGAACACACAGGTGGGTTTGAGGGTTTACTTTGTGAGTATGGGTTTCGTACGAGGCAGAAGTATCAACCCGCTGCACGGCTCCTCACGCTTCTCCCGAGGGAACACACAGGTGGGTCTGAAGGTTTGTTCGTGAGTATGGGTTTCGTACGAGGCAGAAGTATCAACCCGCTGCACGGCTCCTCACGCTTCTCCCGAGGGAACACACAGGTGGGTCTGAAGGTTTGTTTCGTGAGTATGGGTTTCGTACGAGGCAGAAGTATCAACCCGCTGCACGGCTCCTCACGCTTCTCCCGAGGGAACACACAGGTGGGTTTGAGGGTTTACTTTGTGAGTATGGGTTTCGTACGAGGCAGAAGTATCAACCCGCTGCACGGCTCCTCACGCTTCTCCCGAGGGAACACACAGGTGGGTCTGAAGGTTTGTTCGTGAGTATGGGTTTCGTACGAGGCAGAAGTATCAACCCGCTGCACGGCTCCTCACGCTTCTCCCGAGGGAACACACAGGTGGGTCTGAAGGTTTGTTTCGTGAGTATGGGTTTCGTACGAGGCAGAAGTATCAACCCGCTGCACGGCTCCTCACGCTTCTCCCGAGGGAACACACAGGTGGGTTTGAGGGTTTACTTTGTGAGTATGGGTTTCGTACGAGGCAGAAGTATCAACCCGCTGCACGGCTCCTCACGCTTCTCCCGAGGGAACACACAGGTGGGTCTGAAGGTTTGTTCGTGAGTATGGGTTTCGTACGAGGCAGAAGTATCAACCCGCTGCACGGCTCCTCACGCTTCTCCCGAGGGAACACACAGGTGGGTCTGAAGGTTTGTTTCGTGAGTATGGGTTTCGTACGAGGCAGAAGTATCAACCCGCTGCACGGCTCCTCACGCTTCTCCCGAGGGAACACACAGGTGGGTTTGAGGGTTTACTTTGTGAGTATGGGTTTCGTACGAGGCAGAAGTATCAACCCGCTGCACGGCTCCTCACGCTTCTCCCGAGGGAACACACAGGTGGGTCTGAAGGTTTGTTTCGTGAGTATGGGTTTCGTACGAGGCAGAAGTATCAACCCGCTGCACGGCTCCTCACTCTTTTCCCGAGGGAACACACAGGTGGGTTTGAGGGTTTACTTTGTGAGTATGGGTTATGTACGAGGCAGGTATATACTGGTTTGGATCCTCTTCACGGCTCCTTGCGCTTCTCCAGGTGGGCTTGACTGGAAGGGCTCGTGCAACGCCCCAAGAACTATGCAAGGCAGCGCAGCGTGACTTTTGAGTCGACCCAAAAGTCTTCTCCAGGTGGGCTTGACTGGAAGGGCTCGTGCAACGCCCCAAGAACTATGCAAGGCAGCGCAGCGTGACTTTTGAGTCGACCCAAAAGTCTTCTCCAGGCGGGCTTGACTGGAGGGGCTTGTGCAACGCCCCAAGAACGAACTGCGCAAGGCAGCGCAACGCAGCGCAGCGGGGCTGATGAATCGATTCTTGAGTCGCCTAAAAAATTGACTTACTACAATTCATCTCCAAGCGGGAGTGATGAATTATTTCCACGCCTCCTCACTCTTGTTCACACAGATTCAGGTTCCTGCAACCTTCTTCCAATACCCCCTCTCTCCTCTCCTTAATTTCAACCTCCCTTTCCCCACCACCTTCCCAACCCTCAGGTGCTGTGCACGGTGACTCTGGGTCCACTAGACGACGACGCGCAACATGTGGACTCATTAACGGGAGTGGCCAGAAGCGCTTCATGCTGCACTACTCCTTCCCCCTCTCCCCTCTCCCCTCTCCCCTCCCCCAGGTGCTGTGCACGGTAACACTAGGTTCGCCAGTTGATGCGCAGCGTGTGGATTCACTGACAGGCGTAACCCAGAAGCGCTTCATGGTGCACTACTCCTTCCTGCCCTCCCCCCCCTCTCCCTCAGGTGCTGTGCACGGTCACTCTTGGCCCACCGGATGACGCACAGCGAGTGGACTCCCTTACAGGAGTGACCCAGAAGCGGTTCATGGTGCACTACTCCTTCCCGCCCTTCTCCGTCAACGAAGTGCGCAGCGAGCGAGGCGGGCTCAACCGCAGGGAGGTGGGGCACGGTGAGTGCTGTGCGGTGTGGGGAGGGGAGGGGAGGGGAGGGGAGGGGAGGGGAGGGGAGGGGAGGGGAGGGGAGGGGAGGGGAGGGGAGGGGAGGGGAGGGGAGGGGAGGGGAGGGGAGGGGAGGGGAGGGGAGGGGCACGGTGAGTGCGGATCCTTGAGAGAGTGAGTGCTGTGAGAGAGTGAGTGCTGTGAGAGAGTGAGTGCTGTGAGAGAGTGAGTGCTGTGAGAGAGTGAGTGCTGTGAGAGAGTGAGTGCTGTGAGAGAGTGAGTGCTGTGAGAGAGTGAGTGCTGTGAGAGAGTGAGTGCTGTGAGAGAGTGAGTGCTGTGAGAGAGTGAGTGCTGTGAGAGAGTGAGTGCTGTGAGAGAGTGAGTGCTGTGAGAGAGTGAGTGCTGTGAGAGAGTGAGTGCTGTGAGAGAGTGAGTGCTGTGAGAGAGTGAGTGCTGTGAGAGAGTGAGTGCTGTGAGAGAGTGAGTGCTGTGAGAGAGTGAGTGCTGTGAGAGAGTGAGTGCTGTGAGAGAGTGAGTGCTGTGAGAGAGTGAGTGCTGTGAGAGAGTGAGTGCTGTGAGAGAGTGAGTGCTGTGAGAGAGTGAGTGCTGTGAGAGAGTGAGTGCTGTGAGAGAGTGAGTGCTGTGAGAGAGTGAGTGCTGTGAGAGAGTGAGTGCTGTGAGAGAGTGAGTGCTGTGAGAGAGTGAGTGCTGTGAGAGAGTGAGTGCTGTGAGAGAGTGAGTGCTGTGAGAGAGTGAGTGCTGTGAGAGAGTGAGTGCTGTGAGAGAGTGAGTGCTGTGAGAGAGTGAGTGCTGTGAGAGAGTGAGTGCTGTGAGAGAGTGAGTGCTGTGAGAGAGTGAGTGCTGTGAGAGAGTGAGTGCTGTGAGAGAGTGAGTGCTGTGAGAGAGTGAGTGCTGTGAGAGAGTGAGTGCTGTGAGAGAGTGAGTGCTGTGAGAGAGTGAGTGCTGTGAGAGAGTGAGTGCTGTGAGAGAGTGAGTGCTGTGAGAGAGTGAGTGCTGTGAGAGAGTGAGTGCTGTGAGAGAGTGAGTGCTGTGAGAGAGTGAGTGCTGTGAGAGAGTGAGTGCTGTGAGAGAGTGAGTGCTGTGAGAGAGTGAGTGCTGTGAGAGAGTGAGTGCTGTGAGAGAGTGAGTGCTGTGAGAGAGTGAGTGCTGTGAGAGAGTGAGTGCTGTGAGAGAGTGAGTGCTGTGAGAGAGTGAGTGCTGTGAGAGAGTGAGTGCTGTGAGAGAGTGAGTGCTGTGAGAGAGTGAGTGCTGTGAGAGAGTGAGTGCTGTGAGAGAGTGAGTGCTGTGAGAGAGTGAGTGCTGTGAGAGAGTGAGTGCTGTGAGAGAGTGAGTGCTGTGAGAGAGTGAGTGCTGTGAGAGAGTGAGTGCTGTGAGAGAGTGAGTGCTGTGAGAGAGTGAGTGCTGTGAGAGAGTGAGTGCTGTGAGAGAGTGAGTGCTGTGAGAGAGTGAGTGCTGTGAGAGAGTGAGTGCTGTGAGAGAGTGAGTGCTGTGAGAGAGTGAGTGCTGTGAGAGAGTGAGTGCTGTGAGAGAGTGAGTGCTGTGAGAGAGTGAGTGCTGTGAGAGAGTGAGTGCTGTGAGAGAGTGAGTGCTGTGAGAGAGTGAGTGCTGTGAGAGAGTGAGTGCTGTGAGAGAGTGAGTGCTGTGAGAGAGTGAGTGCTGTGAGAGAGTGAGTGCTGTGAGAGAGTGAGTGCTGTGAGAGAGTGAGTGCTGTGAGAGAGTGAGTGCTGTGAGAGAGTGAGTGCTGTGAGAGAGTGAGTGCTGTGAGAGAGTGAGTGCTGTGAGAGAGTGAGTGCTGTGAGAGAGTGAGTGCTGTGAGAGAGTGAGTGCTGTGAGAGAGTGAGTGCTGTGAGAGAGTGAGTGCTGTGAGAGAGTGAGTGCTGTGAGAGAGTGAGTGCTGTGAGAGAGTGAGTGCTGTGAGAGAGTGAGTGCTGTGAGAGAGTGAGTGCTGTGAGAGAGTGAGTGCTGTGAGAGAGTGAGTGCTGTGAGAGAGTGAGTGCTGTGAGAGAGTGAGTGCTGTGAGAGAGTGAGTGCTGTGAGAGAGTGAGTGCTGTGAGAGAGTGAGTGCTGTGAGAGAGTGAGTGCTGTGAGAGAGTGAGTGCTGTGAGAGAGTGAGTGCTGTGAGAGAGTGAGTGCTGTGAGAGAGTGAGTGCTGTGAGAGAGTGAGTGCTGTGAGAGAGTGAGTGCTGTGAGAGAGTGAGTGCTGTGAGAGAGTGAGTGCTGTGAGAGAGTGAGTGCTGTGAGAGAGTGAGTGCTGTGAGAGAGTGAGTGCTGTGAGAGAGTGAGTGCTGTGAGAGAGTGAGTGCTGTGAGAGAGTGAGTGCTGTGAGAGAGTGAGTGCTGTGAGAGAGTGAGTGCTGTGAGAGAGTGAGTGCTGTGAGAGAGTGAGTGCTGTGAGAGAGTGAGTGCTGTGAGAGAGTGAGTGCTGTGAGAGAGTGAGTGCTGTGAGAGAGTGAGTGCTGTGAGAGAGTGAGTGCTGTGACCTGTGTCTTACCCTCCTGTGCCATACGGGGCGGGTGGGGCCCACACGCTGCACATTTGAGATTTCTCAAAAAGGGGGTGGTGAAATGCGTGTTTCATTTCATGAGCCTGTGCACCACGGGCATCCACCTATTCACCCATACAGGCCATAACCCCCCTCCCACTTTCCCCCACCCCTCTTAACCCGCAGGTACACTGGCGGAGAAGGCACTGCTGGCAGTGTTCCCAGATGAACAGGAGCTACCATACTCGGTGCGCGTGACCCTGCCAGTGTTCCTGCTCTCCACGCACATGTATGCACCCACCCACTCTCACACTGTGCCGTCCATACCCTCCCGCCAATCCCTTCCCCCAGGCACCTTGGCGGAGAAGGCACTGCTGGCAGTGTTCCCAGACGAACAGGAGCTGCCATACTCGGTGCGCGTGACGTCGGAAGTCATGAGCTCCGATGGCTCCTCCTCCATGGCCACCGTCTGCGGAGGTACTCCCCCTCCCTCCTCTCTCGCCTCTCTCGATGCTCTCCACCTCTGAGATCCTCCTCCCATGGCCTGTGTGTGGAGTTACTCTCTTTCGCCCTCCCTCCAGCCTTGCCTCTCTTGGTTTCTTGCCACTCTCGCTGCTCTGGAGTGCCTCTCTGCCCTCCTCCTCCCCCATGGCCACCGTCGTTGGATGTACTCTCACTCGCCCTCCTCCACTCCCCACGCTCTCGCCACTCTCGCTGTGCTTCGCTCTTTTCTTTTGAAAACCACTCCACCTCTCACTCCTCCTTGCCTCCCTCCTGATCGTGAGGGTGTCGACATGCTTCCGTCCTCCTCTCGTCATCCTGTCTAATACCTCGTTCTTTCGCTGCCTGTCCCTTCATTTTTCTTTGCCAAGAGAGGCAGAGAGATCCGTCACCTGAGCGCACAAGGATACATGGAAGGGTGGAACATAGCGGTCATCTTTGAGCGGTCTAAAGAACATATGAGAGAGCCACATGTATACTTCTCTACGCGCACGTGGATGCCCATCTATCAGGGATCTGTGAGACGTTTCAGAACGTGATGGAGGAACGTGCTGTTGAGGATTCTTAGAGGGAGGAAAGACAAACTTAACCTAGAACGACAAATAGTATTGAATGTAAGAGAAAAAACAAAAGCAGGTGACTTGAACCCTATAGCAAAATCTCACCTAATCTACACAAGAAAACACATGGAGACTTACCTGAACCTCACCTGGATCCACCTGAACCTCACCTGGATCCACTTGAACCTCACCTGGATCCACTTGAACCTCACCTGGATCCACTTGAACCTCACCTGGATCCACTTGAACCTCACTTGGATCCACCTGAACCTCATCTGAACTCAAACAAAAACCTTGACATGCAGGCTGTCGTGGTGGCGGCGGATGTGGTGGCGGTAATTGTGGTGGCGGCTGAGGAAGAGCCGAAGCTGATGGAATTTGTATTTCGAATTCAGATTACGTAGTCACTTTCTTAAGAAGGACGGACTGAGAAAGTGGCTACGTAAAATAAGCTTCCTCCAGCTTCGCCTCTTCCTCAGTCGCCTCTACATCAGCCTGAGTGTTGGAAGCCCCTAATTCCAGCCTCTGCCTGGCTCACATGGCTTGTCTGCTCAGACTTGAACCAAGTGCATTATAAAATTTTCCTCGCATGTATTTCCTCATGCAATGCACATTCATCTCGATTGGCCAGGGGTTTAAACTAGTACTAAAACCAGTTTCCCAGTGGGAAGTGTTGCCACCCATTTTTTTTCCAAAAACCCCACAGGAAATCACCCTTT